AACAGAAGTTGCTTTTGGAAGTTGTGGGAGCTTCATCACTTGAGACTTTCAAGAAAAGATTGGACTGCCAGCTGTCAGAAATGGTGTAGGGTCTCCTGCTTGAGCAGGAGGGGGTTGGACTAGATGACCTATAAGATCCCATCCAACTCTTGTTAATCTGGCAAAAAGGGTTGGACAGGACCATCTCCAACCAATACTGACTGGAACCAGCTACAAAGCAGACAACTCCATAACACCATGAACTAATTTTATAATTCAATGCCCTGCCATGTGTGGCTAAATAAACGAGTTATTCCATCTAAGCATTTGTATGATTGCTCACACTGAGGTATAACTGGTTTTCATGTACCACCATGTCCTATTAGCACAGTATCTGAACAAACTATGTGTCAGCATCCCAGCACTGACATATATAAGGAGAGGAGAAGCTTGAACTTTTGACTACTTTAGTCCTTTGAAGATTCTGTCTCCTCGGAGATGGGAGGGGGAGACATTCCTGTGATCTGACAGAGAAGGGATGAGGAAAGTGGCTTGGAAGATAGCCAATGAGATGCAGAGAATTGGGGATTGGAAAGGGAGGGCTTGGGGGGCAAAGGTCAGTGCTGACCGCGAAAGAGCCAGGGACAGATCACTATGCTCAATAAAGAGAAAATTTCCTCCAAGATCGGCAGTTTGGAAATTCATTTATTTTGAGATAAATGAATTATTTTATTTTATAATTATTTTGATCTGTCTCCTCGGAGATGGGAGGGGGAGACATTCCTGTGATCTGACGGAGAAGGGATGAGGAAAGTGGCTTGGAAGATAGCCAATGAGATGCAGAGAATTGGGGATCGGAAAGGGAGGGATTGGGGGGCAAAGGTCAGTACTGACCACGAAAGAGCCAGGGACAGATCACTATGCTCAATAAAGAGAAAATTTCCTCCAAGATCGGCAGTTTGGAAATTCATTTATTTTGAGATAGCATCAAAACCTGACACTATGACACGTCAACTCCATCTTCTGTATTGAAGTCACAGAGGTCAAATAACCAACTTCACCTTGACTCTCAACTCCATCTGGTCTGTAAATTAACAACAAGAGATACAAACATGTTTTTCCCTATTTGATGTGCAAGCAACATCTATTGCTCAGTGGGTAGGACAATTGTTTTTCATCGCAATTATCACGAGTACAGTCATTGCTAAGGTATCCCCTATGGGTTTCTACCCCAAATACATCTTCCATGATAAAACCTGCTTTAATAAACATCTCTGAATTTTCCAGATGGGAGTAGGCCATGTCACCTTGTCTTGAACAGAGCTAAGAGACTGAGCTGGCTACTGGTTTCTCTTAGGTCACAGCCCCAACACTGGTAAGAGGAAGCATGGTTGATACCAATTTGCACTGAGGCCATCCAGGTAGCATGGGTGATGTCTATTGTGCTAAAGCTCTGATGAGAATTCAAGTGCTACCTGCAATTTAGCTTCTGCACAAACCTTGATTTCTGATCTAGGAGGGAAGGTGTCAAGAATGAATGGGATGCCTCTCCTTCTACTGCACTTCTGGCTCCTGCCTCCAACTACTGCTAAGAGGATGCAAAGTGTATGTGTGACAAAAAACCCTTTCCGGATTCCAAAAGATTACTATAAGCCTGGAGATCTCATTATTGGTGGGAACTTGCTCCTGAAAACAATTATTTCCTCCAATTTCCCAGACTTTAAAAACGACCCATCCCTGCCTCCTATCTCACTATTGTAAGTTCTGCCTGGAGGGAAAAGATGTAGATTATTGTTTGCTTTGTTTTGGATTCAGAAATGCTTCTTCTAGTGATGTTTGCGATGTCGTGGTGTAATTCAAATATTTGTGCTTTTCTCAATAAAGAGCCAAGCTTATAAATTAAGTAGAATCCCAAGTCTTCATCAGGAAGGCAATAAACAACATACATCTTAGAAAATGATTTGGCTACTGAAGGATTTATTTGTATAATTTTAATTTGGAAAAAGTCATGGTTGAAAACTCCAATAAAAGCCCAATTCTGTTCCAGGGATGGTTCATTTTTTTAAAAAAATCAGTTTTGAAATTAGCAGTGCTCATGCATAAGGGCCTTTAGTAAATCAATGCTGTGATGTTACATTAATTAGCAATGTTAAACAAACCAGCTCCAAGAAAGGACCAAATTGATTAGGGTGGAAGAGGAGCAACTGGGAAGGATTTCAGACACTTGAGCAAAAAAAGAGAGGGGGAGGGAGAGAGGGAAAGAGAGAGAGAGAGAGAGACAGAGAGAGAGAGAGACAGAGAGACAGAGAGAGAGACAGAGAGAGAGACAGAGAGACAGAGATAGAGACAGAGACAGAAACAGAGAGACGGGGGAGAGAGAGAGAAGTTATTGATTTGGACACACAGGTTTTTCTTCTTTCTAACAAAGCCATCCAAGTTTCTTTTTTTTTAATTCTTTTTTTAAAATTTTATTATGACACAGTATGACAATCATACATAACATACTACATATAAATCTCTCCTCTTTTTTAAACATTGTTTCTTCGTGGTCTTCTTTCCGTTATTATAACTTTCTTCCCATATTTATTCATTTTTCCCCATTGTCCCTTTTTCTTTGATTACATTGTATTTTCTAACATTAATAAACTTATTTTGATACATTTCTATACATTTGTTATATACATATTTTATACTTTTAATTATATGCTTATTTTGATGCATTTCTATAATATATATATTTTCTGAGGTTTTTGCGGGTATTTGTATGTAGGTCTTTGGTTATTCGGGTTTTCTCCCGCGTAAAATTGGAAGTACTTTGGCGACGTTTCTAGGAGCACAAGGCTGAAGACACCAGCCTGAAGATGACGAATGAAACTTTGTCGAAACGTCGCCAAGGTACTTCCAATTTTACGCGGGAGAAAACCCGAATAACCAAAGACCTACATATGTATGTATGTATGTATGTATGTATGTATGTATGTATGTATGTATGTATGTATTTCTCTTTAGCCAGGTTCTTCCTATGTAAACCAAGATTTTTATGCAGCCCTATTTCAGTGAAATCACAATCCACTAGTTTCTAGGCTTTTTTCAGGCAGCCAACAAGCACCCTGCAACTTCTTCCCTGTGATTATTATTCTTTATTTCTCGACTCAAGCCATAAAGCCGTCCAAGTTTCATCAAGAAACATCGATTAAAAAAAAAAAGAACCCAATGAAATCTGGCACTTAGTGCTCCAAAGCACAACACAAAAGGCAAGGCAGTCTCCCACAATAGACACCAGCTTTCCTGAATGGCACAGTGGTTAGAATGCACTATGGGAGGCTAGCTATGCCCAGTGTCAGGAGTTCGATCCTGACCTGCTTAAGGGTTGTCTCAGGCTTCCATCTTTCTGAGGTCGGTTAAAAAAAGGATCCAGAATGTGGATGGCAATAGGCTGGCTCTGTAAACTGCTTAGAGAAGACTGTAAAGATTGTGAAGCAGTATATAAGTCTAAGTGCTATTGCTGTTGCTGTTACTATAGCCTCATACCCATGAAGTACCAGCAGTTCCAGGCCTTGGTGTTTGCAGTCAGAGAGATCAACAAGAATCTTCTTCTTCTCCCCAACATCACACTTGGTTTCCACATCTATGACAATCACCAGATTGAGACGAAGATTTATTTAACCGGTCTCTCCCTGCTCTCCACACGAGGCCAAATGGTTCCAGGGTATACATGTGACATGAAGGACCCTCTGCTCTCTGTCATTGGAGGTCTCAACTCCAAATCCTCAAGGCAGATGGCCTCCATCTTCAGCATCTTCAAGGTCCCACAGGTAAGAAGAATGCAGTATGGAGTAGAGAAACAACAGAAGCCCAAGACAGAAGCCAAAGGTGAAACCAATGTTGGGGGGTGGGGGTTTGAAGGGGGGCTCGGTGAAGAAGGTTAAATCAGCCATACCACATAGAGAATCCATCCTGCAGTTGAATTCATTTTTAGGTATTTATATGTCAAGATATGTTTTTAAATAACCCTAAAGCGATAAATAATGAGATATTTCCTACATGTGGAACTTCTCAAGATAATTCCTTCCTCATGTCTTCTTCATGAAAGTGTAGCCACCTTTTCAGTACTAGCCCTCTGCTCTTCTCCAGTAGCATTTTGGACACCTTCTGACCTCTCATCTTCCAGCGTCATATCTTTCTGCCTTTTGGTACTACTGTCCATGGGGTTTTCATGGCAAAGATACTGGAGTGGGTTGCCATTTCCTTCTCCAGTGGATGACGTTTTGTCAGAGCTCTCTACTATGACCTGTCCATCTTGGGTGGCCCTGCATGGCATAGCTCATAGCTTCATTGAAGCCCCTTCGCCATGACAAGGCAGTAATGCATGAAGGGGTTTCAGTGCAGTAAATTCTTTAAATCAGGTTGATGGTTTGTTCCCTTGACAAGTCATGCAAGCTATGTAACTGGTGGATCTTACTTAGAAAGGAAGAGCTTAGTCTTGCCATTCAGGATGACTAGTGGGGCAATCAGCCATACAATGGTGATCCCTAAAGTCACCATAAAAAATTACTTTGTCTTTGAAAGAAGAATCTCACTTTCTCCAGCTCGGTGTTGGCTTTGAGTTCTCTCAGGGAGAGAGAAGACTTTATCCTTCCTTCTTCAGGATTAATTCCAAGGAATTTCCTCAGAATGTGGGTATAGTCCAGCTACTCCTGTATTTCCAGTGGAATTGGGTTGGTCTCTTGGTCTCTAAAGATGACAGTGGGGAACGTTTTATCTCATCTCTGATGCCAATGCTCAAGGAGAAGGAGATCTGTCCGGCCTTCGCTAAAATGTTGAAATCGGACGATCTTTCTAATACGATGCTCAGATTCCTTTGGCTTTTAAAGTCTTCCTTTAAAGTTGAAGTGATTGTTCTCTTTGGAGACTACGGAACGATTGCAACTTTGCAGGGAGCTCTGTATTCTTATGAGCAATGGATAAAAACATCGTATGGCAAAGTTTGGATAATAACTTCGCATTGTGAACTTAGCGGGATGGGGTCTCTAGATACACTGGAATATATGAAGCCCTTTCACGGGGCTTTGCATTTTAAGGACCACACCGGGGATGTCCCAGAATTCAGCCATTCCCTCCTGTCTTTAGATCCTTTCAACTCACAGGGTGACATCTTTCTTCTCCAATGGTGGGAAAGAGTCTTTGACTGCAAGTTCTACAGGCGAGGGAAAATCCCTAAAGTGGAAGAGAAAACATGCACGGGAACGGAGAATTTACAGACTCTGCCAGCTTTTATATTTCAGACGAGCATGACAGGTGACAGTTACAATGTCTACAATGCCATTTATGCTCTGGCACATGCATTACATACAATGTATGAATCAGGAGCACGGCCAGCTATGATGAGGCTTGGAAAGAGGATCTCAAATGTCCAATCGTGGAAGGTAATCTCTGGGACTTTTGATCCAGTCCACAGATCCTTAGAGAAGTGTATCTATATCCCGCAATTATTTCTTGAATTACTGATTAAATACCTCAATATCAATGGATCTCTGATCTGACCATGGGTTTTTTCTTAGGCTCCCTCTGAGTTTGTTAAAATCAGTTATTTTAAAGTTTAAGACATTGGATGGATTATATTCTATTGCTGGTTTATATTAGTTACAGTAGTGGCCAAAATTGTGGAAACCTTTTGGGGAAAGTGTATTTTTGAGGTTTGATAGATAATAACACCACTTTTTTTTTTTTTTTGAGTTTCAAGATAATCCTATTCCACTGCTGGAATGGCCTGGGAATAGCCCAGACCTTAACCCAATTGAAAATCTATGGAGCTGACTAAAGAAACTTGCTAGTCAGAAGCGATCCAGCAATAAAACTCAGGTAATAGAAGCCATCATGCAATCTTGGTTTCACATTAGAACAGCTGCAGAACTAAAAGACTTGGTTCACTCCATGGGAAGACATTGTAAGGCCATAATTCATGCTACCCAACTAAGTATTAACTGATGTGATATTTTTTGTATATCTCGTTTTTTTCTACGTGTTTCACTTTTTTTCTTTATACTGTAACTGCTATCCTAATAGCAAATCCTTCATAAAGGTTGTTGCATTACATTCATGATTAAATTATCTTTCCACTGATATACAATTTTATGGTACCACTCCCTCCCCAAAAAAGTGGTGTTATTAGCTAGTTTTAGAAAATACACTTTTCCCAAAAGGTTTCCACAATTTTGGCTACTACTGTATATTATTAAGCAGGATTAGGGTTGACGTGATGGTAGCCTTTCAGTATTTGAGGAGCTGCCACAATGAAGAGGAGGTCAACTTATTTTCCAAAGCACCAGAAGGCAGGACAAGAAACAATGGATGGAAACTAATCAAGGAGAGAAATCAAGGAGAAATTAAGGAGAAACTTCCTTACAGTGAGGACAATTAACCAGTGGAACAGCTGGCCTCTAGAAGTTGTGGGTGCTCCATGTGGGTGCTTTCAAGAAGAGACAGGAAAGCCACCTGTCTGAGATGTTATAGGGTTCCCTGCTTGAGAAGGGGGTTGGACTAGAAGACCTCCAAGATCCAGCTCTATTCTGATTTTCCAGCTCTATTCTGATTTTCTAGATTAAACAGCAAGTACTAAAAACAATAATATAAATTAAGTATAATTTTTAAAGAGATAGAATTGGGATAAGAGAAATCAAACATGGGGGTCCCCTTGAGGAGCACTAGGAGGCTCCAACTGGCGCAGAGTGCGGCCGCGCGGGTGGTGATGGGAGCGATGTGGCGCTCCCATGTAACACCCCTCCTGCGCGAGCTGCACTGGCTCCCAGTGGTCTTCCGAATGCGCTTCAAGGTTTTGGTTATCACCTTTAGAGCGCTCCATGGCTTAGGACCTGGTTATTTACGGGACCGCCTGCTACCACCAATAGCCTCCCACCGGCTGGTACACTCCCATAGAGGGGGGCTCCTCTGGGTGCCGTCGGCCAAACAATGTCGACTGGTGGCCCCCAGGGGGAGAGCCTTCTCTGTGGGGGCACCTACTATCTGGAACGAGCTCCCCCCGGAGATACGGAGGATCCTGGATCTGCGTACCTTCCGTCGCGCGCTCAAGACTTTCTTGTTTCATCAGGCTGGCCTGACCTAAGTCTGTCCCCTTTTTAAATGGAAATTTTAAATTTGGTTTTAAAGTATTGGGGTTTAAAATTTGTCCAGCCAAATTATTTAATTCGTTTTATTCTATTTTAAATTTTGTATTTATATTGTTTTATTCTATGGCTGTTCACTGTCCTGAGTCCTTCAGGAGTAGGGCGGTATACAAATTCAATAAAACTAAACTAAAACTAAAGTAAAACTAGTTCTCCATAAATTCCATAGAAGAAAGACCTTCGTATAAAGTCCTGAACAGTCTTTAGAACTGGTCTGAATTTCATGGGGTAGCCATTTGAGGGAGGAGATGCAGCACAGAGCAAGATGACAATCTGGGTGGATTTATGCAAGATTCTTCAAAAAGTCAGTTGAGATCCTAGTGGGCATATTTGCAAAACTACCTCACTTTCTCTATCTATACAGTATATAGCCGTGATGACGAACCTATGGCACGCGTGCCACAGGTGGCACGCGGAGCCATATTAGTGGGCACGCCAGCTCAGCTCTGGGGCGCATGCGCACGCCGGCCAGCTGATTTTCGGGCCTTCTGGGCCCACCAGAAGTAGGGAAACAGGCTATTTCCTGCCTCTGGAGGGCCTGGGGGCGGAGTGGGGAAGGCCCGTTTTTCTTTCTTACCTGGCTCCAGATCCTTTCTGTGTATCTGGGAAGGGGGAAAACAGCCTTTCCCACTCCCTTGGAGGCCCTACGGAGGCTGAAAGGGCCCATTTCCCAACTCCCGGTGGGACAGGAAGTGATGTTTTTTCCTGTCCCCAGCCTCCAGAGACTCCTAGAGAGGCTCCTACAGACTCCTAGAGAGGCTCCTACAGACTCCTAGAGAGGTTCTGGAGTCTGGGGACAGCAAAAAATGTCACTTCCTGTCCCACCGAGAGTTGGGAAATGGGCCCTTTCAGCCTCTGTAGGGCCTCCAAGGGATTGGGAAAGGCTGTTTTCGCCCTTCCCAGATACACAGAGAGGATCTGGAACCAGGTAAGAAAGAAAAATGGGCCTACCAGGCCATCAAGTGCCAGGAGTGGGGGGGAGGGGGAGGGGGGTTGCGCATGCATGCGGGTGGGCACGTGCGCACGTGACCATCCCCCGCCCCCCCTCTCCTGGCACGCGATGGCAAAAAGGTTAGCCATCACTGGTATATAGCCTAAATACCATTTGTAGAAAGACACTCAACTCAATTTCTTTTAACCTTGGTTTATATTTCTATGACTTAGCATCCTGTATGACCCTACCCCATTTGTTCAGTTTGCCATTTGTTGCACCTCTCAGCTTGTTGTGTGAAAACAGCCTCTGTCAGCCTCAGCACACAGGGTTGGAGTCCTAACAGGATCATAGTCTGAAATTCATCAATCTTTCCACATCAAAGGCTGCACGTTGGACTCTCTGGACAATTTAGGTCAACTGCTTCTTCTCACGTGGCCCAACCTCTCACTTTGCTCTCTTTAACTATTAGCTAGAGAAACCAATACAATGGCATTGTGCAATTGCATTACAATGGAAACTATTTAAACATTCCTAAAATGCAATTGTCACTTGCAAGACATATTAAGCCTTAGTAAGACCACACCTGGAATATGTCAGGCCAGGAATGCTTTATGAGTTGACAGAATACTGCATCCAGTTTTGGTCACCATATTACAAAAAAATATGTTAAGACTTTGGACAAAGTGCAAAGAAGAGCAACTAAGGAGCCTGGATAGCTCAGCAGACTAATGCATTGTAATTTAACACCAGCTGTCTGCAATTAGTAAGTTCGAATCTCGCCAGACTCAAGGTTGACTCAGCCTTCCATCCTTTCTAAGGTAGGTAAATTGAGGACCCAGTTTGTGGGGGCAATAAGCTGACTTTGTATAAATATACAAAAAGGATGAAGGCTATTGCTGAGCACATTGTAAGCCGCCCTGAGTCTCTGGAGAAGGGCGGCATATAAATCAAATTAAAAAAACAAAAACAAACCTAAGAAGATTAAAGGCCCGGGGACTAAAACATATGAAGAAGGGTTGCAGGAATTGGGTATGGCTAGACTAGAGAAAAGAAGGACTAAGGGGTGACATGATAGCAGTCTTCCAGTATTTGAGTGGCTACCATAAAGAAGAGGAGGTCAACTTATTTTCCAAAGCACCAGAAGGCAAAACAAGAAACAATGGATGGGAACTAATCAAGGAGAAAATCAACCTGGAATTGAGGAGTAACTTCCTAATACTGAGGACAATTACCCAGTGGAACAGCTTCATCACTGGAGGTTTTTAAGAAGAGACTGGGTAGCCGCCTATCTGAAATGATATAGGATCTCCTGCTTGAGCAGGGGGTTGGACTAGAAGACCTCCAAAGTCCCTCCCAGCTCTATTTTGATTCTGAAGACTTTGAACCAAAGTAAAACATTTTAAAATGTATACAGCCAAGTATATCTGGGGGGGGGAACCATAGAACAAATGACTAATGTGAACAGAATAATGTGGCATGAAAACTTTTGTCTTTCATGTAAAGACAAGAGCCTTGGTAGTACAGGAGTTTAAAGCCCCCTGTTATTAAGCTGGTTATTAAGACCAGCTGCCTGCAATTACTGCAGGGTTCGAATCTCGCCAAGGCTCAAGGTTGACTCAGCCTTCCATCCTTTCTAAGGTAGGTAAATTGAGGACCCAGTTGTGGGGGGCAATAAGCTGACTTTGTATAAATATACAAAAGGATGAAGGCTATTGCTGAGCACATTGTAAGCCGCCCTGAGTCTTCAGAGAAGGGCGGCATATAAATCAAATTTAAAAAAAATAAAAAAAAATAAAAAAAACTGGGTTTAAAGAAGCCACTTTACAAATTCCCAATGATAAAGAGAAATGTTCGTAGTGTTGGGGAAGGAATCAAATATTTCAGGTCACTCCTGATTACTGAGATCTGCACCAAAAGATCTCCTCTATCTTGTCAGACATCCATCCATCATTAGAGTAGAGTAGAATAGAGTAGAGTAGAGTAGAGTAGAGTAGAGTAGAGTAGAGTAGAGTAGAATAGAATAGAATAGAATAGAATAGAATAGAATAGAATAGAATAGAATAGAATTCTTTATTGACCAAGTGTGATTGGACACACAAGGAATTTGTCTTTGGTGCATACGCTCTCAGTGCACATAAGAAGAATAAAATACATTCATCAAGAATCATAAGATACAACACTTAATGATAGTCATAGGGAAACAATCAATATAAATCTTAAGGATACCAGCAACAAGGTTACAGACATACAGTCATAAGTGGGAGGAGATGGGTGATAGGAACGATGAGAAGATTGATAGTAATGCAGACTTAGTAACTAGTTTGACCATGTTGAGGGTAGAGCCACTTGAGAACTGAACTGAATGTTAGAAATATTAACATTTAGAAGTTGCACATTTGGCAAGAGAAAATCAAAAGAGGTCAATAATATATTATTGATGGTCTTACCCCACTGGGATTGACCCGTAGCATTCATGCTGCCAGGGGAGGCATGCTACAGATCTTGTCATCCTGATTATTGCGGCTGGTGGGGTCCAGGAGGAGGGCCTTCTCTGCCCTCTGGAACATCTTGGCCCCCGATGTGAGGCTGACCCCAAACTTCCTATCTTTTCATAAGGGCCTAAAGAACTGGCTGTGCCAGTCGGCTTGGAGCCCAAGTGGGGGATCAGCGCAATGGAGGTGGTTGATCGAGTAATAATAGATCCCACCTCCCTGCTACTTCACCCCTGCCTTCCCCATGTGTCTTTGGTTTTAAGGTTTGATTTTAACATTTTTGTTTTAGCTGAAATGTAACCGTAAGCCACCCAGAGTTACACTTTGGTAAGATCGGAGGTCAATAAATTTTATAAATAAATAAATAAATAAATTCTATAAATAAATAAATAAATAAATGAATAAATGAATAAATGAATAAATAAATATTTTTTATAAATAAATGAATAAATTTTATGAATAAATAAATAAATTTTATGAATAAATAAATGAATTTTATAAATAAATAAATAAATAAATAAAGTTTATCAATAAATACATTTTATCAATAAATAAAGTTTATCAATAAATAAATACATTTTATTTTCTATTATATTTTCTCATACACGGGGTATAACAAAAGTCAGATGTATATAAACTATAATTTTATATAATCAATTATTCTAGAGGGTCTGGCAATTGTATAAGCATGCATACAGTATATACATATGGCATTCCATCTTTCTATTCAACTGACCTGCTCCCTCTTAATATATTGAATTTAATAGCCGAAACAGTAAAGTGTATAATGGGCCAGATCACACAGTTGTAGTTGATTGGTTGGAGAGTGTGGGCTCCTGCATGAGGCAATCTACTTTATGATTGGTTGCTGGTGATCTGTCCCCGTCCACACACACACACAAACACAGCCAGCCGAGGGTTAAGGAAACACTTTGGCACACACCCAGGTCTTATCTCCAACTTGGCAGCGATTTACACACCATCTGCCAAGTGCGTTTATTTCCACAAAACAGAAAGATAAGATACTTAGCGTACAAAAAGTCCAAGCAGAATAATATTTCTCTCAGCACTTCCGGACGAGGCTTTAGTGACTATCCAAGGTTTATTTTTTGTTCGTCACAAGGATCACTGGCCACCACCCTCTATTATATAGTCTCTGGGGTGTGGTCCAGTGACTCAATTCTAATCCCTAGCATGCCTCCTGAGCTGCTGCAATCATTTATCACGCCTTCGGAGGCGTGCGTCCAGGAATTATGTTTCTCCTTCGCTCTCATCCGAGCCACCTGTCTCTCTGTTAATCTCCTCTCCCTCGGCCGGCACCTGAGACAGTGCCAGAGGGGAGGGGCCTGGAGAGGGAGGCCTGGCTGACTCCTCTTCCTCATGCTTGGAGCTTTCTTCCTCCGATGGGACAGGCTCAGAGGGCGGGGCCACAACAGCTGGGTGAGAAAGGGGAGTTTCCCTTTTTCCCCCTCGCCTTTTCTTCTGTGTGCTTTGTATGCGTTCATCCTATTTTACATCAATGTTTGAAGGTCTCTTTTTCTTTCAGGTCCTTCCCTATTTGAGGAACGTCCACTTCAACAACAGTGCTGGAGATGAAGTCTCCTTGTCAGAAAACGGACTGGGATCTGCTGGTTATGATCTTCTCAACTGGATTTTCTTCCCTAATCAATCTTTTGTCCCCATGAAAGTTGGGCAAATAGATCATGGGCCTCCTCCTGGTCAGGATTTCACCGTTAACTCTGATGCAATCGTCTGGGCCACAAAGGTGAGTTGAAAGGCAACGTTGTAATTCTGTCAGGTTTCCAAGTAACAAACCCAACAGAATCAGAACTCCGAGGCCCGAGGTTTCCTCAAAGTATGAATTTATTAGGAATGTCATCTTGGCACACCTGGTGAAACCCCGACTCGGAAAGACCCGAGGTTTTCCCCACCCAAATCAAATCCCAAAATTCATGCCCCCAGGCCTCACGTCCATCACATGGTCCAATCAGGTTGCAATCCCAATTCCAGTTGGCTTCAGTCCACGCCTTCCCAGCACCTGGTGAGAATGTCACTTGGTTCCCAGGAGAAAGAATTTTATTTTGGCTACACATGCCCAGCTATCTCTATCTCCCCCCCTCCTGTTCCCACAAGTCCAACCGGCCTTGAAGATGCTCCAAAATGGCTTCAAGGCAGACAATTTCAGGGTAAAATGCATTCCCTCCTAGGGATTCAAAACATCCCTCTGACTTGAAAAATGGTCAGTTGAGCCAGAAAATACGGCAGGCATTTGCTGAAAATGTAAGGGTTTGCAGGTAACACATTTGAGGTCTGATTTGTGGCAGGTCCACAAAGGGTTTGGATTGGGGAAAAACAATATTTGCTGCCAGCTCAGGATGCAGTTATTTATTTATTTATTTATTTATTTATTTATTTATTTATTTATTTATTTATTTTATTTCCAATTTATATACCGCCCTTCTCCCTGAGGACTCAGGGCAGTGTACAGCCAGAATTAAGAACATGAAATACAAATATTAAAAAACAATTAATATATATATAAATTTGGTCCAAAAATTAAAAATCACAAACCAATTAAAACATTTAAAAATTTCTTCTTAAGCCAGCCTGGCTTGCTGGAAAAAGTGGGTTTTAAGGGCACAGCAGAAGGCACTGAGGTCTTGGATTCTCCTTATCTCTGGGGGCAACTGATTCCTGAGGGTAGGTGCCCGCACAGAGAAGGCCCTCCCCCTGGGGGTCACCAGCCTACATTGTTTGGCTGATGGCACCCTGAGGAGGCCCTCTCTGTGGGAGCGCATGTGTCGATGGGAGGTCGTCGGTAGCAGCAGGCGGTCTTGAAGATAGCTAGGCCCTATGCCATGGAGCACTTTAAAGATGATGACCAACACCTTGAAGCGCACCCGGAAGACCACCGGGAGCCAGTGCAGCTCGCGCAGGAGCGGTGTTACATGGGAGCGCCATGCTGCTCCCGTCACTACCCGCGCTGCTGGGTTCTGGACCAGTTGGAGCCTCCGGGTGCTCTTCAAGGGGAGCCCCATGTAGAGAGCATTGCAGTAGTCAAGGCGAGAGGTGACAAGGGCGTGAGTGACTGTGCACAGGGAATCCCGATCAAGAAAGGGCCGCAAGTTAGAATAAGCAGCAGTGATTTCCATGGATCATATTCATTGAATTGGATCCTCATGGTTCTGTTTTTTAAAAAAGCTGTAGCTCAATCACACAAACCTATATGTTTTTTTTTTGCAAAAAGTTTTTTATTTTTTAAACAAAAACAACATAAAAACATCCTTCCAAACAATTGCAGACAGTATTTCGATCGGTTAAAATCATTTCGTGCTCTCAAAATTTTCAAAATCTCATTATATGACAAATGTTCTTTCCTCTAACAAAAAACAAGTGTTTAAACATTTTATCCAAATTTCATTTCATATATAATATTTCATCTCCATGCTTTATTATCTATCCATTGATAAAATAGCTCCCATATCAAATAATATTGTTTATATCTTCCTGTTCTCTTATTTCAAATGTCAATCTACTCATTTCAGCACAATCCAACATTTTCTTAATAATTTCTTCATCAGTAATTATCTTCTCTCCTTTCCAATTTTTTTGCAAATACAATTCTATCCGCTGTTAAAATATTCACAATTAAATATTGCAATTCTTTATTAAATGTCTCTGGTAAGATCCCTAATAAAAATGTCTCTGGTTTAAAGTCAATATGTCTCTTTGTCATTTTTTTCCAACCATGTGTGTATCTTAGTCCAAAATCTCCTTGCTTCTACGCATGTCCACCACATATGGTAATACGATCCTGGGGTCTGATGACACTTCCAAAACTTCTCCGATTTGTTCTTGAACATTCTGGCTATCCTCGTCGGGGGTAGGTGCCACCTGTAAAACATCTTATACAAATTCTCCTTATATGCTGTAGACATTGTCATTTTATAATTATGTGACCACAATTTTTGCCATTTCTCTAGATCAATACCATAATCAAAAATTTTCCCCCATGCTATCATTGATTCTTTAACTTGCTCTTCTTCCAATTTTACCTCTAACAAATATCCATATAACTTTTTAATTACATGGTCATCAGAACCCATTAATATCTTATCTAAAATAGTCAAAACATTATAAAAGCCTTCTTGTTTGCGATCTTCATGATATCTAGAAAATATTTGCATATATGAAAACGTATCCATCTTAAATCCCTGATCTTCTAAGTCTTGTTTTAATTAAAGTTCACCCTTTTCATCCAATAATTCACTATATCTAACAATTTGTTTCCCTTTGAATATCACTGGATATGAAAAAGCTTCAATTGTAGATACTCAGACTGGAATCTTCAAATAATGATATTTTTTAATCCTCTCCCAATTCAAAAATAAAGCTTCACGTATCTCATGTCTTCTAAAATACCCCTGTATTTTAGTTCCTTTGTACCATAAAAAGGCATGCCACCCCATCAACAAATCATGTCCCTCCAAATTCAGTAATCTAGTGTTTTTCAATGTTACCCATTCTTTAATCCACATTAAACTAGCTGCTTGGTAATATAATTCAAAGTTACGTAGACCAAAACCACCCCTCATTTTAGCATCTTGTAACAACTTAATTTTTATTCTTGCCTTTTTCCCTTGCCAAATCAATATCATTTTATTCAAATCTGTAAAAAAATCGTTGTCCAACTTTATCAGAATCATCTGAAATAAATACAAATTCTAGGCAAAATATTCATCTTAATGGTTGCAATTCTCCCAATTAAAGATAGTTGCAAGTTTCCCCATTTTTCCAAATCTTGTCCTATCTGTCGCTTAACTTATTGTAATTATTTTCCTTAAGAGAGCTACACCTTGCTGTCAAATGTATCCCCAAATATTTTACCTTATTCGTGACCTGCATATTTGAAATCTCCATCAATTCTTCTTTTTGCTTTTTCAACATATTTTTAGTCATTATCTTTGTCTTCTCTTTATTAATTTTCAAACCAGCTACTTCCCCAAACTCTCCAATGCTTTCTAACAATTTATTTATTGGTATTAATGGTTCTTCAATAATAAAAACCAAAAGCTTGCAATTTATATTCTTCTTTCCAAATTTTCATACCTTTTATCTCTTTTTCTTCTCTAATATTTCTGTTTAAAACTTCCAATGTCAATATAAACAATAGTGGGGACAGTGGACATCCTTGTCTAGTGCCTTTTTCTATTTCAATAAAATCAGACAGTTCTCCATTGATCATGACCTTGGCTTTTTGTTTGGAGTATATAACTTCAATTGCCTGAAGAAATTTCTTTCCAAAGCCCATCTCCTCCATTTGTAACATCATAAATTGCCAATTCACATTGTCAAAGGCTTTTTGTGCATCTAGAAATATCAAAGCCATCTGATTTTCAGGATGAGCTTCATAATATTCTAAGGTATCCAAAATTATTCTTATATTGTCTCTAATTTGTCTTTTTGGCAGGAATCCATTTTGGTCAAAATGTATAAAGTTATTCAAATATCTCTTAAGCCTTTCTGCCAATATCATAGCAAATATTTTATAGTCCACATTTAGCAGGGGTATAGGTCTATAGTTTTTGATTAGTTGTGAGTCTGTCTCTTCTTTGTGAATCAATGTAATATAAGCCTTGGTCCATGTTTTGGGTATTTCTCTTTTTGTCATTACTTCATTCATAACCTCCAGCATTGGGATTGATAAAGATTCTTGTAACGTCCTATAATATTCAGCTGGCAGTCCATCTGGTCCTGGTGCCTTTCCATTCTTCTGTTTCTTAATTGCCTCAGTTAGTTCCATCATTGTTATTTTTCCATCCAACAGCTCCTCAACATCTTTGAGAATTTGTGGTAGTTTTGCTTTTTGTAGATACCTTGCCACTTTATCCTCCTCTATTATGTCTTTCTTGTACAGTTGTGTATAGTATTCCTGTATTATTTCCCCCATCTCTTTATTTCCAGATCTACTCTGTCCTTGATGATCAATTAGTTGTATTATTTTTCTTGATTCTCTTTCTTTTTTCAATTTATATGCTAACCATCTGCCTGGTTTATTGATCATAAAAGACTTAAAAAGGAATTCCAGAAAGATCCATATAAGAAAGATGTAAAAATTAAAATGGATATTATAAAGCACAAAATGGATCTATTGGAGAAGGAAGAATTAGCTCAAAAAATAAGAGCTGCCAAACAGAATTATTTTGAAAACACACAAACCTATATGTTGTTGTTGTTATTAATTGCAAAGTCGTGTCCGACCCATCGCAGCCCCATGGACAACGTTCCTCCAGGCCTTCATGTCCTCTACCATCCTCTGGAGTCCATTTAAGCTCACATCTACTGCTTCAGTGACTCCATCCAGCCACCTCATTCTCTGCTGTCCCCTTTTTCTTTTGCCCTCAATTGTTCCCAGCATTAGGCTCTTCTCCAGTGAGTCCTTCCTTCTCATTAGGTGGCCAAAGTATTTGAGTTTCATCTTCAGAATCTTGTCTTCTAAAGAGCAGTCAGGGTTGATCTCCTCTAGGACTGACCGGTTGGATCGCCTTACAGTCCAAGGGACTTGCAAGAGTCTTCTCCAGCAACAAACCTACATAAGACTGCCAAAATCCCAGTTCCAATCTCCAGCATCTAAGTGGTGTGCCAGGATTGCCAGTGGCATGAATCCCCCAAGAGCTTTTCCTGCTTCTGGTAAACCCTGGTGAATAATAGCTTTTGGAGACATTCTGAATGTGGAGATAAGAATATGGAAAGGAATGAATGAAGCATGTTCATTTCTTAGGTCATCTCAAGCATTTCTTTTTCCTCTTTTAGAAGGTGCCCTTTGCCAGGTGTAGCATGAAGAGGTGCCATGCTGGAGAGAGGAGAAGTGTTCCAGAGGGCAAGCAGGTTTGCTGCTACCAATGTGCCCTTTGTCCAGATGGAACCATTTCTAATCAGACAGGTAGGAGACAGGTGATGGGAACGATGAGAAGATTAATAATAGTGAATCCTTAGTAACTAGTTTGACAGTGTTGAGGGAATTATTTGTTTAGCAGAGTGATGGCTTTTGGGGAAAAAAACTGTTCTTGTGTATAGTTGTTCTGGTGTGTAGTGCTCTATAGCGTCTTTTGAGGGCAGGAGTTGAAACACTTTATGTTCAGGATGTGAGGGGTCTGTAGATATTTTCACAGCCCTCTTTTTGATTCATGCAGTATACAGGTCCTCAATGGAAGGCAGGTTGGCAGCCATTGTTTTTCCTGCAGTTCTAATGTACAAACACACAAAACAGCAGGATTCCTGGCTGACAGATCTATTAGTCTTTTGGGGATTCCAGGATGAAGTGGGTGTGGGCCAGTGGTGAAATCCTCCGAGGTCTGCTACTGGTTTGCTGTGCGTGTGAATGCATGGTGCATGCCAAATGCGTGCTTTGTGCGCGCATGTGCAGTGCATGCCAAACGCACACTTTATGTGCAGGGTCACTGCAGGCACTAACACACAGCACTGAAAAAGAAGGCTTAAGAAGCCTTTTCTAAGGTAAGTAGAACAGAGGGGGGGGGAACAACTGTGCTGCATGATTTAGATTCACTAGAAAGTAGGATTTCCTGCTTTCTAGTGAATATAAATCACGCGGCACAGCTGATCGTCAGAAATACCAGGTTCGTCTGAACTGGTAGCATTTTTTTTACTACCGGTTCACCCGAACTGGTCCGAACTGGTAGCATTTCACCCCTGGTGTGGGTAAGTTGGCAATTTCTCTGAACCTAAAAGCCACTGTACTCTTGGACATGTCCAGTGATTGGAGAAGTTCTTTTTTTCCCCCAGAGGAAACTGACCGGTCCAGCTAGAACTGAACAAATTACTGTCTCTGGAGAATTTATCTCTATCAAATGAAGGTGAATATATATGTCCCAGGATAATGTTGCAGGATCCAAACTGGGTCGGTCACCAGGGCCAAAGGTTTAGTCTTCTGAGTTTTTGGACTCATGCTGGAGCCCTATCAGAGTTTGCAGTAGAAATCAAATCCAGAAAGCACACACAAGTAAACTGATTCAGCAGGATTCATTAACTTCTTTATATACATAATAACACATGAGTAAATGTACAATACCAATAGCAGATTCTTCCAACGTGGTAGAGAGGAGAAATCAGTTTTTAGTTCAGAGTTCAGAGCAGACTAGTTCCGTTTTAGAGCTGAACACAGAGCTAAACCATGCCCAAACTCCTTCCAGTTTCAGTTTCCAAAACAGCTCTCACTGGCTGACCCAGTTGCTATGCCTATTCATTGGCTGACCTTGTTACCATGTCTTCCTAGTCATGAATATTCTGACAAGCCCATCTTCAGGGAACTTCTCTCTAGCTAGAGAGAAGATCCCTGAAGATAGGCTCCAGCACAAGTCTGAAAAGCCAGAAGACAAAACTTCTGGTCCTGGTGACTGATACAGATTGGACCTTGGGACTTATCTTGATGGTCACAATGAAAGAAGTATGATTTGTCCATTTAAATCCACTGTCAAATGCACAGTGGATCGTTAAATCATCCCCTTTGTGTGTTTGCCACAGCAGAAAGGGCACAGTCATATCACATTAAGGGAGGGATAATACTCATGGCACATGCCCCTGAAATCCTTAGACAAAATTTCTTTTTTAAAATATAATTTTATTAAGCTTATCCAAATATAACGTGTTTAATATATCTATTCAAAATGTCCACCACTAATATAAACAACAGGAGAGATAAAGCACAGTTAGAAGAATTTATCAGTGGGATGACTTGCCTCCAGAAGTTGTGGATGTTTCATCACTGGAGATCTTTAAGAGGAGACTAGACAGCCACTTGGTTGAAATGGTATAGGGCCTCTTGCATCCACAGGGGGTTGGACTAGAAGACCTCCGAGGTCCCTTCCAACTCTGTTATTCTGTTATTCCTTGTCTTGGGCCCTTTTGAATTTCACATGGTTTGTTAAATCGCCATTAAAAATAATATTTCCTTGTTGTGATCTTAGACAAAGATTCTTGATTTTTTAGATGCAACCCACTGTGAGCCTTGTCCAGAAGACCAATACCCCTGTAAGGACAAAAACTATTGCATTGCCAAGAAGCTCCACTTCCTTTCCTATCAAGATAACCTGGGATACACTTTAGCTTCTTTAGCTCTTTCTCTCTCTGTGATCAGTTTGGCGGTTCTGATGATTTTCCATAAACATCACGACACACCGATTGTCAAGGCCAACAACCGAGATCTCACCTACATCCTCCTGGTCTCCCTTCTGCTCTGCTTCCTTTGTTCCTTCCTCTTCATTGGTCAACCTGGGAAGTTCACTTGTCTTTTACGACAAACAGCTTTTGCCATTCTCTTTTCTCTTGCAGTTTCTTCTGTATTAGCAAAAACTGTCATAGTGGTTTTAGCTTTCATGGCCACCAAGCCAGGAAACAGGACACGGAAACTCTTAGGAAAGCCATTGACCAACTCCATTGTCTTTGGATGTCCCCTGGTCCAAGCAGTTCTTTGTGCCACCTGGCTGATAAACTCTCCACCATTTCCCAACTTGGACTTCCACTCATTGATTGGCGAGATCATCTTGGAATGTAATGAAGGCTCAGGTTTAATGTTTTATGCTGTCCTCTCCTACCTGGGTGTTCTGGCCCTCATCAGTTTCACGGTGGCCTTTTTGGCTAGGAAATTGCCCGACAGCTTTAACGAAGCCAAGTTCATTACTTTCAGCATGCTGGTCTTTTGCAGTGTTTGGATCACCTTCCTCCCCACCTACCTGAGCATCAAAGGGAAGTCCATGGTGGCCGTGGAGATCTTCTCCATCTTGGCCTCTGGGGCTGGTCTCTTGGCTTGCATCTTTTTCCCCAAATGCTACATTATTCTGCTGAGGCCGGATCTGAATTGTAGAGAGAATATAATGAGGCAAAAGAACCTGTGACTGATGCAGGAATTGGAAACTTGGAGTTTGGGACATTTTTCTTTTTCATCCAAAATGAGAGAAGGACTTGTCCATCAAATAATTGGAAATAATGTGATGTGACTAATCACAAAGTATTTATTAATCAGTAGCAATTACCCATCCTTTTATCCTTCATTAGGACCAGTTGTCCCAGAGAGGATCCTATGATCAACATGGAAACATTTTTTAAATTTTATTTTAAAATTAAAAAAATGTGGATATTAGTTTCCAACAGGAAGTTTCACACTTTATTTATTGTAATCAAAAGAATCATTAAAAATGTTTCAATTTGGGTTCACTATCAGTATTTTTCAGCATTTTCCTTGAGGCTTTCCTGAATTCTGTGCTAATGTTTTCATTCAATTGACTTTTAGAGGCTTTTTTTAAAAAAATGCTTTAGAGCAAACTTACTTACTTACTTATTTACTTTATTTGATTTATATACCGCCCTACTCCCGAAGGACTCAGGGCGGTGAACAGCCAAACAGTAAAAATACATAGATACAAAATTTAAAAACAAAGTAAAATCAAATTAAACAATTTGGCCCAGACAGATTAAAACACCCCAATCATTTAAAAACTGATTAAAATTTGCATAATTAAAAAGAGGGAAAAGATTAGGCCAGGCCCACCTGGTGGAATAAAAAGGTCTTAAGAGCGCAGCGGAAGGTGGAAGGGAAACAAATTTCTCAAGCTCTAACCAATTGTCAGGCAACACTCATGTAGAGTTTAAATTAGCCTCGTATCTTGAATTATCCATCTCTATTTTTTTTAAAATAAATTTTCATTCATAAACATTTTTGAAAAACAGTGCATTGTCAGAGTATCATTTACAAATAGAACAAAACCAAAAAGAGTTGGTAGTAAATATCAGCCCACAAACTAATATAATATAATATAATAGCAGTAGTAATAATATAACCAAGAAGTTTAAACTAGATTTCTTCTTACATTAGTTTATTTACATTTTTATCAATTACTATGTTTATAGATATATACCTCTTTATTTTCAATATTAACAATATTAACATTCATAATCTTACTTTCTCCAATTTCTACTAAGGAGTGTTTCTGAGCTTAGACTCAGAATCTGGTCATTCCTTACATGGCGAGTGTTGCGATCATCCTGGCGGGCTTCCCATGAGAGGTCCAGATTAGAGAAAGCACAAGGACAGGTGTTTCTCGGGATGAGAGAGCCCCGAGCTGACTCCAGACCTCTCTTTTATTAAGCAAGGGTATTGGGCGTATCAGAAGGCATGATTACAGCTATACATTCTCATATTACATCCGTGATACAAAGGATTTTCTCCATATCTGGACATAACTTTTACATCCTACCATATTACAGTAAATCACATGAATTCTAGGAAAGCGATACCTAAGGTAAAAACAAAACTTAACTCTGCTATGTTATCATATTTGGCTTCGTTCCCAGCATCCCATCACCTGCCAACCGAGAGGCCCCGTTACCAGAGATCTACCTCAGTTGTCAGGAATGTTCTACAAGGAGATGTCTCTGCTATGCAGGCAAACACAGCCTCCAATCTAAATAGGGCCCCTCCAATGGTCATGTAGCTGAACCCGCTTTTCATAGTCAGATTATTTCGGTGCTAAGTTCCATACACGTGTCCAACCAATTAAACTGGTCTATACATGTACTATGGCCACCTGATTCCCACAGGCGAGTATATTGGAAAAGCTAAAACAGATATTTGGAAAACACCACATATTTGTATCCTTCAAAGTTGGAATATTTATACCCCTTACTTGGATAAGCAACGAAATGTTTTTTTTTTAAATTTATTTATTTATTTATTTATTATATTTCTATACCGCCTTTCTCCCTTTCTTCTTTCTTTCTTTTGAACCAACAGGAAAAGAAAAGAAAAAAGTCCAGTTGCCATGACTAGACTAGACTAGAACTGAACTGAATTGTATGCTATATTTGGCCAAGTGTGATTAGACACACCGTTTTGTGTCTCCTTTTCAGTCCAGGCTCAGACCAGGATTCTTTTTTTTTTTTTATTGCAAAAGTTTTACAATTACATTTTCACCCCTTTCCCCCCCCACCTCCCCCCCCAGACTTCCCAACCTCCCTAACCCTCCCTAACCCTCCCCTCCCCCCAGACTTCCCTATAATATACTCATACTCATAAAAAACCCTTGATATAACACTTATATATAAACTTAAACCCCTCCCTCCCCTGTATAATTTTTCTCTTTACCTCATTACATTAAAATATTTCCAATACATTATTTTCAAATAAAAGCTATTTGATACTTTCTAGTTTGATATTTGTTCTGAACATATTCTATCCACCTTTTCCATTCCCATTCATAAGTCTCTTGTGAACAATCTTTTAAATATGCTGAAATCTTCGCCATCTCTGCAAAACTGGCCATCTTCAAAGTCCATTCCTCGATAGTGGGCAAAGCTTCATTCTTCCAGTATTTACCTATCAACAATCTCGCTGCTGTTATCATATACAATATCAATTTTGATATTGTATTTTTGTATTTTTGATATTAATCCTGCTCAGACCAGGATTCAATAGTAAGTATTGGCCATGTTTGCTCATCACCTTTGCAGATCTTGGGACAAGAGAGGTGCCATTATCCTGACTCTCCCAGATGTCTTAGTGGTTTTCAATATCATTGACAATGGTATCATTCGGGCCTGGATGGATAGAAGTGGTAAGCAATATTTTGCAGTGGTTTTCCTTTTTTCTACACAGTCAGTTCCAGTCGGTTTAGAAGAAGAGTTCAGCCTTAGCAGTTGAAGTATGAGGTGCCTTAGGACTCAGGTCCCTCATCTTCCTTTTACAACCACATTACAATCCTGGGTGAGACCATTTAATACCAGGGACGCAGTATGATTAGCTAATTGTGCCATATCCTGGATTTCTGGCTCTGCTCAGTGTCAGTCATGCCTTGGTCAATTCTCATTTGGAGTATTGTAACATTTTCCCCCTTGGGCTGCCCTTGAACTCCACTTGGAAGCTACAGTTGTTCCAATAGCCTCAGGAATTTATGGAAACATAAATGCTTACATAAAAACTCTTGATTTCAGATGCTGCCCAATGTGATCCTTGCCCAGAAGACCAATACCCCAACAAGGATCAGATCCACTGCATTGCCAAGAAGATCCACTTCCTTGCCTATCAAGATCCCCTGGGATATAATTTAGCTTCTTTAGCTCTTGTTTTTTCTCTGCTCACAACTGGTATCATGGTGATTTTCTGTAAACACCATGACACACCAATTGTCAAAGCCAACAACCGAGATCTCACCTACATCCTCCTGGTCTCCCTCCTGCTCTGCTTCCTCTGCTCCTTCCTGTTCATTGGAAAACCCAGGAAGCTCACCTTCTCTTCCGACAATCTGCCTTTGCCATTCTCTTTTCTCTTGCAGTTTCCTCTGTCTTGGCCAAAACTGTCATGGTGGTTCTGGCCTTCATGGCCACCAAGCCAGGGAATCAGACAAGGAAATTCTTAGGAAAACCACTGACCTACTCCATTGTCTTAGGCTGTCCCCTGCTCCAAGCAGTTTTGTGTGTCACATGGCTGGCAAATTCTCCCCCATTTCTCAACATGGATTTCCATTCCTTGGTCAGAGAGACCATCATAGAATGTAAGGAAGGTTCCATTTCAATGTTTTATGCTGTCTTGCTTATCTTGGTTTCCTGGCTCTTATGAGTTTCACAGTGGCCTTTATGGCCAGGAAATTGCCTGACAGCTTTAACGAAGCGAAGTTTATTACTTTTAGCATGCAGGTTTTCTGCAGTGTTTGGATCAGCTTCCTCCCCACCTACCTGAGCACCAAAGGGAAGTCCATGGTGGCCGTGGAGATCTTCTCCATCTTGGCCTCTGGGGCTGGTCTCTTGGCTTGCATCTTTTTCCCCAAATGCTTCATTATCCTATTGAGGCCCCATCTGAATTGTAAAGAGAATATAATAAGGCAGAAGAATTGCTGATTTATGTGGAGATTGGGCACTGTGATTTTAGGATATTTTTGTATTCAATCTGATTTCTAAAATAAATCATGACAATGCAAGAAAATGTCCATTAAATAATTGGAAATAACATGATTTGATTAATCGCAAAATATCTGTTAATCAGCAACAATAACCCATCCTTTTATCCTTCATTCTTTCTTATTGTCTCCAGTGAGGCCTCGGTAATCAAGATAGACACAATCTATAATATTAAATATGTCAATATTAATTCCCAGCAGAACAGATTCTCAGTTTATTTATATTAATCCAAAGAGTTTTTACAATTTTTTTCAGGTTGGGTTCATTATCCATATTAATAATCATGTTCTCAAAACATGTTGTGAATAAGATGCTGGAATGAATGAATGAATGCATGAATGAATGAATGAATGAGGGATACAAAGATCAAGTTAGAGGAAAGGAAAAAGGTAGAACTATTTGGGACATTAACTCAATGTTAGCAAAGAAAACATTTAGATGTTGCCCATTTTAGCAAGAGAAAATCAAAATTTTCTCTTTTATTTTGTATTTTATTTTCCCATATACAGAGTCCCTGTCACTCCTCTTATACATTCTATCATGTAATTTATATAACAAATTATATTCAGGGCCTGACATTGGTACTGCATGCATGCACTCATGCACACATACATACACAAGCAGGCTGTATCTTTGGCATTCTATATTTTGATTCTGTCCATATGCTCCCCTTCCTCTGAGAATTTATTTTCCTTTTAAAACTCATCTGCAGCTTCCCCAGATTCCAAAAAAAATGCTATTCTCAGTGGTTTCTGTGAAATGCTCCGGACAATTATCAAATGTTATTCCTCCATTAGCTCATCTGATATAGCAGGATACCTTTATCAAAATAATAAAGGCCGAATATAAACAAAGTAATAAATAAATTTGAACAGTAGCTTTTTGCCAGGGCTCAGCTTCCTGATGATGCTTGTTAAGGATATTGTTGTTGTGTTACCAACCAGCAGAGTAAATGCACAAGGAAACGTTGCTGAGAGCAATGAATAAGAGTTATACAAACTGGTTTATCAAAAGCTTACTTTATAGTAGAAAAACAGTCTCATAGTCTTTAAACAAATTCCAAGTCTTTGCCAGTTAAATCAGTCCAGTAGTTACAGATATCTTCTTACCAAACAAACATTAGTTGGTTAGAATAACAAACTCACTCTGGTTCACAAACCACAATGGTAGCAGATCCATCAAACGATGATTAGCAGATAACAACTCCTCTCAATGGTAGTTTATCATATCAGCTTCATCATCTCATCATCAAACTGAATACGTTACAGTACCTTGCTTAAATACTCTCACAACCAGTCATTACCTAATTACAGCATGACTCAGCATTACAATGAATACTTTTAAAGTAACATAATACATTTACAGATTAAAGTTACAGTACACATATATATCCTGGACAACTGTTAGGCTCAAACCATATCCTAACAATGCTGTTTTTGTGGTCAGGGGTCCCTCTCCTGATGAAACACTGGCAAATTTGTTTTTTTCTTCATCCTGATTTTGTTTCATGTAAAAATCACAACAAACCAGTGGTTAAATCCAATTTTTTTTACTACCGGTTCTGTGGGTGTGGCTTGGTGGGAGTGGTGTGGCTTGGTGAGCATGGCAGGGGAAGGATACTGCAAAATCTCCATTCCCACCCCACTCCAGGGGAAGGATACTGCAAAATCTCCATTCCCACCACACTCTGGGGCCAGCCAGAGGTGGTATTTGCCAGTTCTACAAACTACTCAAAATTTTCACTACCGGTTCTCCAGAACCTGTCAGAACCTACTGGATTTCACCCCTGTCGAACTATTCTCCAAAGCATCTGAAGGTAGAACCAGAAGCAATGGGTGAAAACTAATCAAGGAGAGAAGCAACTTAGAACTAAGGAGAAACAAGCAGCCGATTTAGCAGACAGATGGAGACAATGCTGGGAATAATGTGTTCATTTCCTAGCTGTCTGTTTTCTGGTTGTTGGGATTCCTGCCTTGACTTGGATCTTCCCTTGTGAATCCTCTTGGATTGTGGATTTAATTTTGCCTGCTGATTTTACTTGCATTGGGAAACATTCAATTGCCTTGTGGACTCATTGGCCATTGCTCTGTGGACTAGCATTGGACTGCTGGACTTAATTGGGACAATTTTAGTTTTTTAGTGAAGCGAATTGCTGGAGAATATTAATAAACCCACTAAACCATGGTTACGTGTGTGAGTGAGTGAGACCTAATTTATGTCCAGCGGAAGATAATTTAGTTGATCTCATGACAAAGCCATTGGGCATACAGAAACACAAGGTTTGAATGCTGTCCAGCTATAAATTGGAGGGGTGTTAAGATATTTAAATTTAGTAGCTGGAGCAGTGGGGTTGAGCAATGAGCCAGAATACAGTTATGGTTGATTGGCACCAAGCGGCTGGCTCCTGAATGAGGCAATCTGCATTGTGATTGGTCGCTGCGGGTGTAGAGGGAGAGTTTCCCTTTTTTCCTGCCTTTTTCTTCTGTGGGTCCTGTGTCCCCTGAGATTTACCTCAGGATGCTCCTGTTTGCCTGACTATCTACTTTGCCGTATATATAGTTGTAAAATAGATTCATTGATATAAAATGACAAGTTCATGTCACCATCTCTGACTCCATTTGGACACCAGCTGCGCAATTCTCTGACATATATCCCAAAACCCACCCTCTTAAAACTCATCTGCAGCTTCTCCACATGCCAAAAATGTCATTCTCAGAGCCTTATGTGATACCCTCAGGACTATTACCAAAGCTACCCTCTATTACATTATTGGCTCATCTGACATAGCAGGATATCTTTATCAAAATAATAAAGTCAGGATATAAATAAAGTAATAAATAAATTTGAACAGCAGCATTTTGCCAATGCTCAGCTCCCTGAAGATGCTGATTTTGGGTCACTGGACCTTCTGTTGATGAAAATGTAGCAAACGTTTGGTGTCTCCATACAGATTTGACCTGCCTGGCTCACAGTTCCCAGGAGAAGCTGTAGTGTCCCCCAGTTTTATGGTGTGGGGGCAGAGAGATGCTGTCAGCCAACACCCACATGTCCATCATATGGTCCAATCCAAACACCATCCCAACTGGAGATGCCTCCTAGTTCCAACCATCCAGGTGCAGGGCAAGATGACCTTGACTTTCTGAGAAAGGAATGTTATTATGACTATATATCACCCTGGCTCCATAGAATCCCCTCTCCCTGTTTCCCACAGTAGTGAATGTGGCAGACCTGAAGGCCCAACGAAAAAGATGCAGATGCATTGCTTTTCTGTTGTTTCCTCCTCCTGGAAACTCATAACTTTCACATTATTTGATTTCTGCAAGTTAAAACCAGAAGTATTTCAAAGAACCTTTGGTGTATGAAATCTCATAATCAACTGGTTTGGTTCTTCAATTGTACATTAACTTAGAACTCCTGTTTTTGTTAAGATGGATCAGTGAGCCTAACATCTTGAGAAACCCTCCTGCCTATTGTTAAGAACCACTGGAGAAGTTGAAACCTAGGTTTTTATCCCCTGCCATGTGGGGCAGTGGTGGGTTTCAAAATTTTTTACTACTGGTTCTGTGGGTGTGGCTTGGTGGGCGTGGCTTGGTGGGCGTGGCAGGGGAAGGATACTGTAAAATCTCCATTCCCTCCCCAATCCAGGGGAAGGTTAATGCAAAATCTCCATTCCCTCCCAATCAGCTGGGACTTGGAAGGCAGAGAATAGATGGGGGTGGGGCCAGTCAGAATTTTTAACTACCGGTTCTCCGAACTACTCAAAATTTCCACTACCGGTTCTCCAGAACTGGTCAGAACCTGCTGAAACCCATCTCTGATGTGGGGGATAAATAAACCAGGTATTCCATCCAAACATTGGTTTGATTATTCACACTTGCAACCGACTGCCATGCGCCACCATGCCCCATTGGCACTCACCCTACCTGAACATACCAATGCAGGTCAAACTCCCCCTTGTGTGTTTCATTTAAGCGAATTACTCACTTCATTTTGTCTCTGAAGTTCAGCTGCTCTGTGGATTAACAACAAGAGACACAAAAGTGTTTTTTTTCCTTTCCGGTGCACAAACAAAATGGAGTGCTAAGTGGCTGGGACTATTACTTTTCCTTGCAATTATCAGAAGAACAGTAGTTGTTGATGTATCCCCAGTGGATTTTAAGATACAGAAAATCTTCCAAGAGAAAACCTGCTTTAAAAAAAAAAATGCTTGGAGTTCTCCAGGTGGGGGCAGGCAATGCCACCTCACCTTGTCTTGCAAAGAGCTAACTCCTGGGTTTGAAGAGACTCAGCTATCCTTAATTTTCCCTTTGGTTGCATCTGAAATACAGGTAAGAGGAAGCATATTTGATATATTTTCCCTGAATCCATCCAGGTGGCATGCCCTGGGTTTATCCTGTTAAATCTCTGGTGAAATTGAAAGTGATGCCTGCAATTCAGCTTCTGCCCAATCTTGATTTTTTTTTTTTATCCAGGAGGGAAGGTGACAAGAATGACTGGGCTGCCTCTCCTGCTTCTTCTGCTTTTCTGGCTCCTGCCTCCAATTATTGCTAAGGGGATGCAAACCCTTTGTGTGCTGCCCCGACGTTACAAGATTGAGGAACACTATTATAGGCCTGGGGAATCTCATTATTGGTGGGAATTTGCACTTGGGGAACTATTGGAACCCTTACTTAAACTTTGTCAAAGACCCATACCCATTTTCTATCCCATATTTGTAAGTTTTACCTGGAGGTCAAATATCTAGGTGGTTGTTTGCTCCGTTTCTTCAGAATATCTGTTCTTATGATGTTTCGATTTCCTAGTGTAGTTCAAATCTTTGTGTTTTTCTCAAAGAAGAGACAAACTGATTAAATGGGTTAAATCTTTCCAGAACTCTTCATCAGGAAGATAATATACCACATAAAGAGTGAAGAGGGACAACACTTTAGGGACTTTACAAACCTAGTGAAGAAGTTGACTTAAAATGTTAATTTGGACAGAAAGTCGTGACCCAAGGAAAAGAACAACATTTTTCCAGTGTAGGGTACTGCAAAATTTTATATTCGGTTATTATCAATTTTATATTCAGCAGTGCTTCAGAATAATTGTCCTCAATAAATATTTGCTGTGTTTCTCACTGGAGTCTTGTGCTCAGCAGTGGTTGCCAGATGTGAAGAAGCTGCTCCAAAGAGAACAAAAAGAGAACAAAATTAGTTTAGTTTACTAGAAGAGAAATTGGATAGAATTGCAAACACTGAGGTGAAGTGAAGAAGTGAGGGATGACAGAGGGATATAAAATGGATGATGACATGAATAGACAGACTTTTCTCCTTTCTCACAAAGTTTAATCAAAACCCCATTAATATTTGGAATTTCCCGCTCCAAAAATAACCCCACAAAAGAGCCTGGATAGCTCTGCAGACAAGGCACTGTTTTAACACCAGCTGTCTGCAATTAAAGTAAGTTCGAATCTTGCCAAGGCTCAAGGTTGACTCAGCCTTCCATCCTTTCTAAGGTAGGTAAATTGAGGACCCAGTTTGTGGGGGCAATAAGCTGACTTTGTATAAAATATATGAAAGTATGAAGGCTATTGCTTAACGCACTGTAAGCCACCCTGAGTCTCCGTAGAAGGGCGGCATATAAATCAAATTAAAAATAAAAAAATAAATAAAAAAATAAAAAAGAAGACAAAGCAAACTTCACCAGGACACACATGCTTTGAGGTAATGTTTCACAATGTTTCTCTCACGATAGACCCACACCCAACAACTACCAGCAGTTCATGGCTTTGGTGTTTGCAGTGACAGAGATCAACAAGGATCTGGTTCTCCTCCCCAACATCACACTGGGCTTCAACATGTATGACAATGCCAATTGGAACAAGAGAGTTTACTTGATCAAGCTCTTTCTGCTCTCCACACATGACCAAATAGTTCCAGGCTACAAATGTGACCAGAAGGACACTCTCGTCTCTGTGATTGGAGGTGATGACCCCACATTCTCAATGCAGATCGACTCCATCTTCAGCATCTTCAAGGTCCCACAGGTAAGCGGGTTCTTTTAGAAATAGTTATAGAGGAGGTAAACTACAGAAGCGAACAGAAAACTAGAAGATGACACCAAATTTATTTTATTTTATTTTATTTTATTTTTGATTTATATGCCACCCTTCTCCGGAGACTCAGGGCGGCTTACAAGGCATTAAGCAAATGGATTGGTCATTAATACCATGTGATTTAGAGAATAATGGAACAGTTGGCTTCATTGTTATATTTGCTGTTTCAAGATATATTTTATAAAACACCTAAGTGATGCATAATATACTATTCCAAGAGGAATTCCTTCCTAAAGTATAATTCATAAAAGAGTCACTCTTTCATTGCAGTTTATTCCCTGTACCAGATTTAGGATTTGTTTCCTTGGATTCTGACATGTCACAAGCAGGGAAACTATATTGATTGGTGGCTCTTCCTAAGAAAGGAAGAAGCTTATCTCTCTAAATGACTCAAATGGATTGATGCAGTCAATAAACTACACTATGGGGCCCCTAAAGTCACCATCAATCTTTACTTTTGTCTTTTAAAGAAGATTCTCCCTTTTTCCAGCTCACTATTGGCTTTGAGTACATTCAGGGAGACCGAAGAGTTTATCCTTCCTCCTTCCGGATTAATCCCAAGGAATTTCCTCAATTTGTGGGTTTAGTCCAGATGCTCCTGTATTTCCAGTGGAACTGGGTTGGGTTTATTGCCTCTGATAGCGAGAATGGAGTACGATTCATCTCAACTCTGAGACCCATGCTCATGGAGAATGAGATATGCCTGGCCTTCACTCGAATGCTGAAACATAATTTTTCTCCTTTGGATGTGAAAAAATTCACTTTATATTCGGAAATATGGGCTAATGTTGAAGTTATTCTTTCCTTTGGAGAACCTGACATTGTTCAAACATTTCTTTTGGCTCTGGAGTTTAATGCATTTCGTCCAATTCCACATCCAAAAGTTTGGATCTTAACTTCATATTGGAAACCACATATAAACCATCTTCAAAATACATGGAAAGCCTTAAAGCATTTGCATGGGTCTCTGCATTTTAGGGACCACAGCGGAGATATCTCAGAATTCAGAAATTTCCTCCTGTCTTTAGATCCTTTGAACCCACAAGGAGATATGATCCTCCCACTGTGGTGGGAAAGGATCTTTGGCTGTGAGTTCTACAAACCAGGTCACTATTTTATAAAATGGAAGAAATACTGTACAGGAAAAGAGAATTTACAGCATCTGCCCGCCTATGTGTTTCAAACAAGCATGTCAGGTGAAAGTTACAATGTCTACAATGCCATTTATGTTCTGGCACATGCATTACATGCAGTGTTTGAATCTGGATCAATACTAGCCAGGATGAGGCTTGGAAAGGAGATTTCCAGTGTTCAGTCATGGCAGGTAATCTCTGTCACTTTGTATTCATAGATTTTAGGGAGGAAGCTTCCTATATGTATTATCTGAAATATTCATTAAATACAGTGTCATACAGTTTCTGTATGCTTGTAATACAATTCTGCAATATGCATCACAACGTATTAAAACAGCAATTATTGAAAAAAATAATCTGAATTTAGTATATATGTGGTTGGAAAGAGGAAGAGAGGAAAAAAAGAAGAACTGCAAAACAATCATCTGTAAAATCTATAGAGAATATATCTTCATAAAGAATCCTGAAAGGTCTTCAAAGGTTACCTATGTTGCCTACTTGTCTGCTACGTTTATCAGGAATCTGTTTGATCTTCCATTTGGTGCAGAGTTTGTCTCCCAGTTATTTATTTGTTTGTTTGTTTGTTTGTTTGTTTGTTTGTTTGTTTATTTATTTATTTATTTATTTATTTATTTATTTATTTATTTATTTATTTATTTTTCTCCCCAAGGACTCAGGGCAGCTTACAAAAAAACGGAACAAAAATTACATAAACATTAAAATCCAATTAAAAATTAATTAAAATTATTTAAAATCACCCCTACGGATCAGCCCATTTGATGAAAGAGCCACGTCTTCAATTCGCAGCGGAAGGAGAGGAGGTCAGGGGCTGTCCTAAGGCCGGTGGGCAGCCCATTCTAGAGGGTCGGCGCTCCCACAGAGAACACTCTCCCCCTAGGGGTCACCAGCCGACATTGTCTGGCTGACGGCACCTGAGGAGGCCCGCTCTATGGGAGCGCACAGGGCGATGGGAGTGACAGTTAATGTCAGAGTAGTAGTAGTAGATCCAGGTCTATAGAGCCTGCGTCTTGAGCATACTCTTGTACTGCAGTGAGACTTGGACCCTCTACACACAGCAGGAGAGAAAGTTGAACACCTTTCATATGCGCTGTCTCCGACGTATTCTCAGCATCACCTGGCAGGACAAAGTTCCAAATAGCGCAGTCTTAGAACGTGATGGAATTTCTAGCATGTATACACTATTGAAACAGTGATGTCTACGCTGGCTGGGGCATGTCGTGAGAATGGCTGATGGTCGGATTCCGAAAGATCTCCTGGATGGAGAATTAGTGCAGGGAAAGCGCCTCAGAGGGAGACCTCAGCTGCGATATAAGGATATTCTAATCTGAGGATATTCTATTCTAGTCTAATCTGTTTTGTGTCTGAGAAACCACAAAATGATAGAAGCCAGGTTGCCTTATGTATGGTTTTCAGCCAATTATTCCAATTTCTGAAGGTCACTTTTGTTTCAGCTTCTTCCTTATTTGATGAATGTCCAGTTCAATAACAGTGCTGGAGAGGAAGTCTCCTTCTCAGAAAAAGGACTGGGATCTGCTCGTTATGACCTTCTCAATTGGGTTCGCCTCCCCAATCGATCAATTGTCCTTCTGAAAGTTGGGCAAATAAATCCTGGGGCTCCCCCAGTTCAGGATGTCACCATTCACTCTGATGCAATTATCTGGCCTACAAAGGTGAGCTGGAAGATTCATTCTCTCCTGGGGATGCAGAATGTGCCAACTGGAAAATAGTACTATTGAATGATATTTAGTGAAAAAAATGTGCTTTGCATGGAAGACATTTGAATTGTGTCACAATTGGGAAGAACTTCTGTAACCCATTTGGCCATTAGAGCAGACAACAGTGATTTCTAAGGTCCATTCCCATTGTAAAATCCAACTCAGGACCCAAAACCCAATCATCAGGGCTCACTGCAATGATTTGTTTTATTTAATAGTAAATTTATCTAATGTTAATGTAATTATTTAATTATTTAATTTAATTATTTATTTAATACAATTGAGAGAGTCCAGAGATATTTCACAAGAGGAATCCTCCACTCCTCCGCTCACAACAGAATACTACCAGGCTTGAAATTTTGGGCTTAGACAACTTAAAACTATGCCGCCTTCGGTCTGACCTAAGCGTAGTTCATAAAATTATCCACTACGATGTCCTTCCTGTCAATGACTGCTTCAGCTTCAACCACAACAATATACAAGCATACAATAGATACAAACCCATGGTAAACCGCAGCAAACTCGATTGCAGGAAATATGACGTCAGTAACAGAGTGGTCAATGCCTGGAATACACTTCCTGACTGTGTAGTTTCTTCCCCAAACCTCCAAAACTTTAACCTTAGACGGTCTACGGTCGACCTCACCACATTCCTAAGAGGTCTATAAGGGGCGTGCATAAGTGCACCAGCGTGCCTACTGTCCCTGCCCTAATGTTCCCTTTTACTCATATCCATTTCATGTATTAATAGCAATAGCAATAGCACTTATATACCACTTCATAGTGCTTTTACAGACCTCTCTAAACAGTTTACAGAGTCAGCATATTGCCCCCAACAATCTGGATCCTCATTTTACCCACTTTGGAAGGATGGAAGGCTGAGTCAATCTTGAGCCGTTTTTTTTTTTTTTCTTTTTTTAAATTTGATTTATATGCCGCCCTTCTCCGGAGACTCAGGGCGGCTTACAATGCGTTAAGCAATAGCCTTCATACTTTTGTATATTTTTACAAAGTCAGCTTATTGCCCCCACAAACTGGGTCCTCAATTTATCTACCTTTGAAAGGATGGAAGGCTGAGTCAATCTTGAGCCTGGCAAGATTCGAACTTACTAATTGCAGAGAGCTGGAGTTAAATTATAGTGCATTAGTCTGCTGAGCTATCCAGCTAGCCGGTGAGATTTGAACTGCCGAACTGCAGCTAGCAGTCAGCTGAAGTAGCCTGTAGTGCTGCACTCTAACCACTGCACCACCTCGGTTGTTTATGTGTATGCTTATACCTATATCTGTTATCTAATATATGCTTGACAAAATAAATAAATAAAAATAAAATAAATAAAACAAACTTACCAATTCAAAATTGGTAAAACTCAAAATAATTCCCAACCTTTCTACTGTTACTATCCTCAATAAAAATATTGTACTAATTTAAAAAAAAACCATCAGGGTACACTCATATTTAAACATTTCAAGAGAGATGGAGAAAACGACACATTCGTACCTATGGACAGGTAATAGAAGATGTAATTCATAGATATTAAAAATTGGTGAAACTCAAATTAATTCCCAACCCTTCTACTATTAGTACCCTCAATAAAAAATATTGTATTAATAAAATAATAATTACATGGAAACAGAAACATTGATAAATCATACTGAGAATCAAGTTCTTCACGGTTGCCTTAATTATTACAAATTTCTTCTATAGTATGTTTCTGTTTTGCTAACACAATCCAACTCATCCAGAAACTTGGTTTCTTCTCAACGTTCACTTAGATCCTCATTGTTTCATAAATGTGTCACGTCTTCCTGTCAAGCCTGAATCTGACTGGGCTGTGGGTTGTTTCTATCATGGGTTATTCTCACATGAATTCAGGTTGACACAGTTTGGAGCTGAAGGGGGGAGAGCAGAGGTGGATGGAGTCTTCAGCCAAAACAACAATTAGTTAACCAATGAATCAGATACATTCCAATGGCCCGCTGGCCAGAGGAGGAGGAGAGAAGTCACCAAGCAACCAGCTCTTGTCCTGATTGGATAGTGTGACATATTGTTTTGGGAAAATGAGAAACTCTTACTTTAAGTGGGGTGGAAAGCATGGGAACCTTTAGTACTTGCTTTCCACCAGTTTGTGCCAAGATGATGTATCTAAATAAATTTGTTCTTTGAGTAAGTAGAATGCCGCGGAATTTGATTTGTGATGGGTACATTAATTGGAACCTGACACTTTCTTTGCATGCCAAGATCTGTGCTATGATCTCCAGCATTCACTGGTGAGTCAGGAGTGCCACTGAACTAAATTCCCCAGGAGCTGATCCTGGTTTATGGTAGACCCTGGTGAACTATTTCTGAAGATAGACACAGAATGTGGAAATGGATAAGTGAAGCATGTCCATCGCTTAAGGCCATCTCAAGCATTTCTCTTTTCTTTCTTAGAAGAAGCCCTTTGCCAGGTGTGGCATGAAGAGGTGCCATGCAGGAGAGAGGAGAAGAGTTCCAGAGGGCGAGCAGATTTGCTGCTACCTATGTACCTCTTGTCCAGGAGGGACTATTTCTAATCAGACAGGTAGAGCAGACTTCAAATGTGGGCCTTCCAAGATCAAGGAAGTCATTCTGTAGATCAAAATATTGATTTTTTAAAAAATCATTATTCATAGAATTGATAGGCTTCAAAGTTTCAGGGTACAACTTATGAGTTCTCAACCAGCATTTTAACTCTTATTGTTATGTTTCATAAGGATAACCAAGCAACTATGTTTTCCTAAAGGAGTGGGATATGTCATTCAATCTTTCACCTTTTTTATTTAGGATATGCTTCTTTTGTCAGCATTATCAATCTCCCAGGAAATTGATAGATCTATCAGAGGAAGAGGATATCCATTTAGAATAGAATAGAATAGAATTTTTTTATTGGCCAGGTGTAATTGGACACACACGGAATTTGTTTTGGTGCATAAGCTCTCAGTGTACATAAAAGAAAAGATACATTCATCAAGAATCACAAGGTACAACACTTAATGATAGTCATAGGGTACAATGGTATATTTATCCATATATGCGAATCCTCCCCCCCACCAAATCTGAATCAACAGATTTGCAGTACTTGTAGTCCTTGAATGACAATCACAATTGAACCCAAAACTTCTATTGCTAAATGAGTTTTGCCCCATTTTACAAACTTCCTTACCACAATTATTAAATGAATCAAGCTGTTAAGTTAGTTAACATGGTTGTTAAGGGAATTTGGCATCCCCCTTGACTTTGCCCATCAGAAGGTTGAAGATGACCCCAAGACACTGGAACTGTCATAAATATGAGCCAATTGCCAAGCATCTGAATTTTGATCATATGATCATGGGAATGCTGCCCTTTTTCCAGAGCAAACTGGCTAGGTCAACTGGAGATGAATCGATCCATGTCTCTGGCAAATCTATCCCTGGATCATTAATAATGGAGGGTTGGACTTTTTTGATCCGCCATGAAATGCTCTTTGAGAGTTGGCCCTAGCACAAAGGGGACAGTCATGTCACCCCTGGAGATGAGATAATGCTCATGGCAGATTACTCTTAAATCCTTACATAAAGACTCTTCGTTTCAGATGCAGCTTATTGTGACCTGTGCTCAGATGACCAATACCCCAACAAGCACAAGGACCACTGCGTTGCCAAGAGGATCCACTTCCTTGCCTATCAAGAGCCTCTGGGATATGCTTTAGTTTCTCTAGCTCTTTCTCTCTCTGTAACCACATCTGCAGTCCTGGTGATTTTCTGTAAACATCATGACACACCAATTGTCAAGGCCAACAACCGAGATCTCACCTACATTCTCCTGGCTTCACTCCTGCTCTGCTTCCTCTGCTCCTTCCTTTTCATTGGTCAACCCAGGAAGCTCACTTGTCTCATCAGACAAGCTGCCTTTGCCATTCTCTTTTCCCTTGCAGTTTCCTCTGTCTTGGCAAAAACTGTCATGGTGGTTCTGGCCTTCATGGCCACCAAACCAGGGAACAAGACAAGGAAACTTTTAGGGAAACCTCTGACCAATTCCATTGTCTTAGGCTGTCCCCTGGTCCAAGCAGTTATTTGTACAATTTGGCTGGCAATTTCACCTCCATTTCTCAACTTGGACTTCCACTCCTTGTTTGGTGAGATCATCTTAGAATGTAAGGAAGGTTCAGCTTCAATGTTTTATGCTGTCCTCGCCTACTTGGGTTTCCTAGCCCTTGTGAGTTTCACGGCAGCATTTCTAGCTAGGAAATTGCCTGACAGTTTTAATGAAGCCAAGTTCATTACTTTCAGCATGCTGGTCTTTTGCAGTGTTTGGATCTCCTTCCTCCCCACCTACCTGAGCACCAAAGGGAAGTCTATGGTGGCTGTGGAGATCTTCTCCATCTTGGCCTCTGGGGCTGGTCTCTTGGTTTGTATCTTTTTCCCCAAATGCTACATAATCCTACTGAGGCCCAATCTGAATCGTAAAGAGAATATCATGAGACAGAAGAAACTCTGATTTACGTGCATATTGGGAGCTTTGATTTTGGAACATTTTTGTTTTTAACTGATTTTTTTAAAAAAATGAAATGCTAGAAAATTGTTGTCCATTAAGTAATTGGAAACAATGTGATTTTTGTTGATTGTCCCCAATGAGGCCCCAGCGATCAAGACAGTAGTAAACATTAATATTAAATATGTGGGTATTAGTTCGGCATCAGAGCGCCAGGTCCTGCGTGAGGCAATCTGCGCTGTGATTGGTTGCTGTGGGTATGGAGGAAGAATTTCCCTTTTTCTCTGCTTTTTTCTTCTGTGTGCCTTATGTGCTCTATGATTTACCTCAGGATGCTCCTGTTTGCCTGAATATCTAGTTTGCCATATATTTAGTTGTAAAATAAATTCATTGATATAAAACGACAAGTTTGTGTCACCGTCTCTGACTCCCTTTGGACACTGGCTGTGCAATTCCCTGACATACACCAGAAGCCCCTCCCCTTATAAATTATATAATGTAGTTTATATAATAAATTACCTATGGTGACTGACTTTTGTACTACATACAAACGCACACAAAGTATATACAGCATTTCATGTTTCTCTTCTCTTGATACGTTCCCCTTCCTATGAGAATTTATTTTCCTTGTAGGGATTTAAAATTCATCTGCAGCTTCTCCACATGCCAAAAATGTCATTCTCAGAGCTTTATGTGATAGCCTTAGGATGATTATCAAAGCTACCACCTTTTACATTACTAGCTCATCTGATACAGCAGGATATCTTTATCAAAATAATAAAGGCAGGATATAAAGAAAATACCATATTTTTCAGAGTATAAGATGCACTTCCCTCCCCCCAAAAGTGGGTGGAAAAGTCTGTGCATTTTATACAGCAAATATTGCGGTGTGGGGAGAGGGTGGATGTAGCACTGATCAGCTGTTTTAGAATGGGCCACGGCGGCAGCCAATAGGCCGCTGCAGCGGTGACAAACGGGCGGCGGTGAACAGGCCTTGGCAAACGAGCCCCAGCAACAGCGAATGGGAGCCAGTGGCGAACAGGTGGCGGTGGCGAATGGGCGGTGGCAGCAAACGGGCAGCAGCGGCAAATGGGTGGCAGTGAACAGGCCGCGGCAAATGGGCTGTAGCGAATGGGCCATGCCGAACGAACCAGATGAATACCTGATGAATGCTGGGAGGCAGAGGCAGATTTTTTTTTCTTGTTTTCCTCCTCAAAAGCTAGGTGTGTCTTATACTCCGAAAAATATGGTAATAAATAAATTTGAACAGCAGCATTTTGCCAATGCTCAACTTCCTGAAGAAGCTGATTTTGGGTCATGGGGTCACTCTGTTGATGAAAATGTAGCAAACTTTTGGTATCTCCATCCAGATTTGACCTGCCTGGCTCACAATTCCCAGGAAAATATGTAGTGTCCCCCCATTTTATGGGGTGGGAAAGGGGGCAGAGAGATACAATCAATGTTTTTCTGTTGTTTTCTCTTCCTGGAAATTCACAACTTCCATATTATTTGATTTCTGCAAGTTAAAGTCAGAAGTATTTTTCAAAGGACTTTTAGAGGATGAAATCTCACCCTCAATTGTCTTGGTTCTCCAATTGTATATTAACTCAGAAGTCCTGATCTTGTTTATGTGATTTATCTGTTTGTCCAGCGTTGCTTGGGATAGTGAGAGGGGTGGCATATAAGTTTAAGAAATAAATAAAAATAGTTTTCCTGCCATCTTTACCTTTTAATTTTATTATTATTTTTTTTAATTGGTGGATCTTGACTTATTTTTATTTATTTATTTATTTATTTATTGGTTCGATTTATATGCCGCCCTTCTCTGGAGACTCAGGGTGGCTTACAATGCGTAAAGCAATAGCCTTCATACTTTTGTATATACCTGCTTAGTAGGGCTTTCACCCCCCCCCCCAAGTGGTGTTCTTTTTTATACAAAGTCAGCTTATTGCCCCCACAATCCGGGTCCTCATTTTACCTACCTCGGAAGGATGGAAGGCTGAGTCAACCTTGAGCCTGGTGAGATTTGAACTCGCAGTAATTGCAGGCAACTGGCAGCTAAGTGCTACTTAAACAGCACTTTAGTCCACTGCACCACCAAGGCTCTAACCACTTACAACCATTCATTGAGTGACTGTTCAAAGTTAGAATGTGAAGAAAAGTTAGAATGAAAGAATGTGACATATGACCGTTTTTCACACTTACGACCATCGGGGCATCACCTCAGTCACATGTTCAAGCCATGTTACTAACTTAACCAGTGCAATGATTCACTGAACAACTGGGGCAAGAAAAGCCGTAACATGAGGCAAAACTCACTTTACAACTGTTTCGATTAGCAATGGAAATTTTGGACTCAATTGTGGTTGTAGGTCGAGGACTACATGTACTGTATTTAGAAGTTTTACTGTATTGTTTGTAGATGCAGAATAAACTGCTCAAAATCACCTTGATATTAGTAGGCATAAGCCAAGCCCTACTCCAAAATAAACATAAATTCCTGATAGACAAAGCTTCCTGTCAGACTGGCTGGAGTAAGCTTGAAATGTTTCCCTTTCTGGACTGCCAATTTCCTTGGCCTCCGTTTCTTTTAGCAGTCAAACAGCGTTTCTCTTCAACAATCATGAAATATTTTTCTATTTACTTTGCTTGTATGCTGCCCACTCCCGAAGTCTCTGTTTAGCTAACAATTTCAACCTGTCAAATAAAGGCCTGATAACACCAAATACATATTCAAATAACAAGGTAACCCCCCCAAAAAATGTATTTAGGGGTTTATTTATTTGTATCTTGCCATTTCTATTTTTTACAAATACAATACAAATACAGAGTATAAGATGCACTTTTCCCACCCAAAAGAGGGTGGAAATGTTGGTGCGTCTTATATACCGAATACAGCCATTTTTGGCCTCCCAAAACCCCACCACTGCATTCCGTTTTAGCCAAAAACAGGCCCATTTTTTGCAAAACCGGGATGCGCAGAGGGTTTGGGAGGCCTGCAGAGTGCTTCCTGGGGGTCGGGGATTCCTGGATTTATAACAAGGCTGGATTGGGTGGCCTGAGGATGGCAGGCCTGACAGATGGTATCTTTTGCACAACAGTCGACAATGAAGAAAACCCACTTCATAAGAAAAACTCAGCACACAAACATTTCTGGCTCTAACTAGTTTTTAGACAACATTCCTGTAGAGTTCAGGCGGGCTACCATTTCAGAAATCTTCCTGCCTATTGTTAAGGACAGTGGTGAAATGCAAAATTTTTTGCTACCGGTTCTGTGGGCGTGGCTTGGTGGGTGTGGCTTGGTGGGGGGGTCATGTGACTGGCTGGGTGTGACCAACTTTTTTTTAAACTTTTTTAAAGCATTTTTTTTTTTACTACCAGTTCACCCAAACTGGTAGTTTTTATCACTACCAGTTCTCCCGAACCGGAGTGAACTGGTAGCATTTCACCCCTGGTTAAGGACCACTGGAGAAGCTGGAAACTAATTTTTCATCCCCTGCCATGTGGATATATAGAAACCAGACATTCCGTCCAAACATTGGTTTTGATTAGTCACACTTATTAAAGTACAACTGACTGTCATGGGCCACCATGACCGATGAGCAGTCATACCACCTGAACAAACCAATGCAGGCCAAACTCCACTTTGTGTGCAGGTACTTCGTTTCATTTAAGTGAATTACTGACTTCATTTTGTCTCTCAAGTCCAGCTGCTCTGTGGATTAGGAACAAGAGACAGAAACATGTTTTTCCATTTCTGGTGCATTGGAATGGAAATGAAATGAAATGGAGTGCTAAGAGACAATTGCTTTTCCTTGCAATTATCAGAAGAATAGTAGTTGTTGAGGTATCCCCAGTGGACTTTAAGATACAAAAATCTTCCAAGAGAAAACCTACTTTAAAAAAATATGCTTCGAGTTCCCCAGCTGGGGGCAGAACAGGCCACTTCAGCTTGCCTTGCTACAGCCCAAACAAACATAAGAGGAAGAATATTTGATATATTTGTCCTGAAGCTATCCAGGTGGCATGTCTGGTGTTTATCCTGTTAAAGCTCTGGTAAAATTTAAAGTGATGCCTGCAATTCAGCTTCTGCACAAACTTGATTTCTGATCTAGGAGGGAAGGTGATAAGAATGACTGGGATGCCTCTCCTCCTGCTGCTCTTCTGGCTCCTGCCTCCAATTATTGCTAAGAGGATGCAAACTCTTTGTGTGCTGCCCCAACCTTACAAGATCCAGGAAAATTATTACAGGCCTGGTGATCTCATTATTGGTGGGAATTTGCACTTGGGATTCTATTGGGAACTTTACTTACATTTTAACAAAGACCCCTATCTGTTTTCTCTCTCATATTTGTAAGTTTTACCTGGAGGACAAATATCTGGGTGATTGCTCAGAAATATTTCTTCTTATGATATTTCAATTTGCGTTCCCTCAACACTGTCAAACTATTTACTAAGTCTGCACTATTAATTTTCTCATCATTCCCATCACCCATCTCCTTCCACTTATGACTGTATGACTGTAACTTTGTTGCTTGTATCCTTATGATTTATATTGATATTGTTTTCTGATTGCTTATTTGTACCCTATTACTATCATTAGGTGTTGTACCTTATGATTCTTGATGAACGTATCTTTTCTTTTATGTACACTGAGAGCATATGCACTAAGACAAATTCCTTGTGTGTCCAATCACACTTGGCCAATAAAAAATTCAATTCAATTCAATTCAATTCAATTCAATTCAATTCAAGTCAAGTCAATTCAAGTCAAGTCAAGTCAAGTCAAGTCAAGTCTAGTCAAGTCTAGTCTAGTCTAGTCTATTTCCTGGTGGAGTTCAAATATTTGTGCTTTTCTCAATAAAACTGATTAAAGACTGATTAAGTAAGCTATTTTTTTCTTTCCAAAACTCTTCATCAAGACAATGATGAGTGAGGAGAGACAACAGCTTAGGAATTTTACTAGACTAGTGAAAAAGTTGACTTACAATGTGATTTTGGACAGAAAGGGGTCATGGAAGACTCAAGGAAAAGAACAACACTTTTCCAGTGTGGAGTACTGCCAAAAACACAAGTTTTGGAATCAGCAGTGCTTATGAATAATGGCCCTTGCAGTTGTGTCAAAATGAAAAGTTGTGGTTGTAATGTTGTTATCTTCTACGGTGCTAAACAGAATGGGAAGTTGGTGCCTTTTTTTCTTCTTCCTTTACCCTATATCTCTTTTTTCCTTTCCCCTTTTCTTAGTTTTTCACATTTTTTTAAAAAAAATATACTTGGATAAACTAATAAAAATTTTAAATTGGAATTCAGAAAAATATTTGCTATTTCCCACTGAAGTCTTGTGATCAGCAATGGTTGGCTGGCCTGAAGAAGCTGCTCCAAAGAGAACAAAATTGATTAGGTTACTAGAACTACAATAGGGAAGGATTGCAACCACTGAAGCAAAGTGAAGAAGTAGGGATGATAGAGGGATATAAAACAGTCCATGATATGAATAGATGGGCTTTTCTCCATTCCCACAAAGCTATCCAAGTTTAATCAAGAACTATCTTTAAAAAAACAACAACAATCCCATTGATATTTGGGACTTCCTGCCCCAAAGAAAACCCCACAAAGATGACAAGGCAAACTTCATCAGGACACAAATGGTTTGAGGTAATGTTTCACAATGTTTCTCTCACTATAGACCCACACCCAACAACTACCAGCAGTTCATGGCTTTGGTGTTTGCAGTGACAGAGATCAACAAGGATCTGGTTCTCCTCCCCAACATCACCTTGGGCTTCAACATGTATGACAATGCCAATTGGAACAAGAGAGTTTACTTGATCAGCCTCTTTCTCCTCTCCACACGTGACCAAATGGTTCCAGGCTACAAATGTGACCAGCGGGACACTCTCTTCTCTGTCATTGGAGGTGACAACCCCCAATTCTCAATGCCGATGGCCTCCATCTTCAGCATCCTCAAGGTCCCACAGGTAAGGTGGCTTCTTCAGATACAGTTATGGAGTAGACAAGCTACAGAAGCAATACATACATAATGTAATATTTCAAGACAAATTCCTTCCTAAATATTATTCATAGAAATGTAGCTGCTCTTTCACTGCAGATTATTCCCTGTACCAGATTTATGGTTTGTTTCCTTGGATTCTGACATGTCACAAGCAGGGAAAATATGTTAATTGCTGGCTCTTCCTAAGAAAGGAAAAAGCTTGCCAGTATCTTTCAAAACGACTCATCTCGGGTTGGTAAAATACACTATGGGGACCCCTAAAGTCACCACCAATATTTACTTCTGTCTTTTAAAGAAAATTCTCACTTTTTTCAGCTCAGTATTGGCTTTGAGTTCATTCAGGGAGACCAAAGAGTTTATCCTTCCTCCTTCCGGATTAATCCCAAGGAATTTCCTCAATATGTCGGTTTAGTCCGGATGCTCCTATATTTCCAGTGGAACTGGGTTGGGCTTATTGTCTCTGAAAATGAGAATGGGGAACGTTTCCTCTCAACTCTGAGGCCCATGCTCATGGAGAAGGAGATCTGTCTGGCTTTCACTCAAATGGTGAAACATGATTTTTCCCATGCGGAACTGTTCAAATTCACTTTACATTCGAAGATATGGGCTAATGTTGAAGTTATTCTTTCTTTTGCAGAACCTGACATTGTTGAAACATTTCTTTTGACTCTGAACTTATTTGATAAAATTCCATTTCCCAAAGTTTGGATTTTAACATCCTATTGGAAACCACATACAAATCATCTTCACGATACTTGGAAAGTTTTAAAGCACTTGCATGGGTCTCTGCATTTTAGGGAGCACAGCAGTGATATCTCAGAATTCAGCCATTTCCTCCTCTCTTTAGACCCTTTGAACCCACAAGGAGATATGATCCTCCCACTCTGGTGGGAAAAGATATTTCACTGTGAGTTCCATAAACCAGGGCACTACTATTTTATAAAATGGAAAAAATACTGTACAGGAAAAGAGGATTTACGGAATCTGCCCACCTACATGTTTCAAACAAGCATGACAGGTGAAAGTTACAATGTCTACAATGCCATTTATGCTCTGGCACATGCTTTACATGCAAAGTTTGCATCTGGATTACGACCAGTCCTGATGAGACATGGAAAGAGAATCTCCAATGTTCAGTCATGGCAGGTAGTCTCTGTCACTTTGTATTCAGTTCATAGATTTTAATTAGGAAACTTCAGATATGTATTATTTGAAATATTCATTAAATACAGTATCTGTTTGCTATCATATCAATGTACTTCAGAACATACGAATAAAAGGGGACACTAGGACAGGGACGGTAGGTATGTTGGTGCGCTTAAGCACGCCTCTTACAGACCTCTTAGGAATGGGGTGAGGTCAACAGTAGACAGTTTGGGGAGTTTGGGGATGAAACTACAGAGTCAGGTAGTGCATTCTAGGCATTGACCTCTCGGTTACTGAAGTTCTATTTTCTGCAATCGAGTTTGGAGCAATTTACCTTAAGTTTGTATCTATTGTTTTTTCATGTATTGTTGTGCTTGAAGCTGAAGTAGTCATTGACAGGTAGGACATTGTAGCAGATAATTTTATGTACTACACTTAGGTCAGACTGAAGGCGGCGTAGTTCTAAGTTGTCTAAGCCCAAAATTTCAAGTCTGGTGGCATAAGGTATTCTGTTGAGAGTAGAGGAGTGGAGGACTCCTCTCGTGAAATATCTCTGGACTCGCTCGATTGCATTAATGTCCAATATGCAGTGCAGGTTCCCGACAGATGAGCTGTATTCAAGACATGGTCTAGCAAATGTTTTGTATGCTCTGGTTAGCAGTATAATATTACCAGAGAAGAACATATCAAAACAACATTTTTTAAAAAATCTGAATTCAGTATAATGTTTGGTGTAAAAGGGACAGAGGAGTAAAAGAGAACAACTGAAAACCAGTTATTTTCAAGATCTATAGAGAAAATATCTTCATATAACATCCTAAAAGGTCTTCAAAGTTTGCCTGAGTTGCTTAGTTGTCTACTAGATTTGTTATGAATCTGTTTGATCCTCCACTTGGTGCAGAGTTTGTCTCACAGTTGTTGTCAGAGTAGTTAATGTTCCTCATTACTATAGTGGTGTGCTTCCAACATACCTTATTTAACTGTTTGGTTGGGTAGCCTGTAGTATACACTCTATCTTGTCAGACATACATCTATCTCCTAAAATGATGGCCATCACAGAATAACAGTTGAAAGGAACCTTGGAGGTTTTCTAGTCCAACCCCTTCTCAAGCAGGAAATCCTATACCATTTCAGACAAATGTTTGTCCAGTCTCTTCTTAAAAGTCTCCAATGTTGGAGAACCCACAATTTCTGGAGGCAAGTTGTTCCATTGTTTAATTGTTCTAACTGACAGGAAAATTCTCCTTGGTTCTAAATTGCTTCTCTCCTTGATTAGTTTCCATCCACTGCATCTTGTCCTGCCTTCAGATGCTTTGAAAAATAGGCTTCCGTCTCTCCTTTGTGGAAGCCCCTCAGATGTTGGTACACTGCTACCATGTCACCCCTAGCCCTTCTTTTTTGTAAATTAGACATACCAAAATTGTACAACTGTTTTTCATATGTTCAGTCCTGTAATCATCTTTATTACACTTCTCTGCAATTTTTCTAGTGTCTCAATATCTTTTTTATATTGTGAAGACCAGAACTGAATGCAATATTCCATGGATGGTCTCTTACCAAGACATTATAAAATGGTATTAACACCTCATGTGATCTTGATTCTACCCCTCTGTTAATGAAACCTAGGAGTGAGTTGGCTTTTTTGGCAGCTATAGTACACTGTTGGCTCATATTTAACTGAATGTCCACTAGGACTCCAAGATCCCTGATTGCAATTTATTTGTTTATTTATTTAATTTGATTTGTATGCCGCCCTATCTCCATAGGACTCAGGGTGGCTCACAACAATTAAAATCAAACCAGATACTTGGATGAATAATTACTATTATTCAGCCAAGTATCACATATACTATATCTGTGTATTTGTTTTTTCTTGCCTAAATGTAGAACCATAACTTTTTCATCATTAAATTTCAGCTTGTTAGATAGAGTCCATTGGTCAAATCTGCCAAGGTCCTTCTGAGTCCAACTTCTGGAGTGTTGATGATTCATGCCAGCTTGGTATTGTCTGCAAATTTGATGAGTTCTCATTCTATCCCCTCATCATTGATGAAGTTATTAAATACTATTGCATACTTCCTTCCATGTAGATGTAGTACCATTAAAGACTGCAGAGTGCAGTTGGTCAGCCAGTTGTGAATCCATCTAGTGGTGATGCTCTCTAACAAATATTTTTCTATCTTATCAAGTAGTACATTGTGGTCTACTTTATCAAATGCCTGATTGAAGTCCAAGTAAATTATATCCACAGCATTCCTTTGGTCCAGTAATTTTATCACTTTGTCAAAGAATGCAACACGATTTGTCTAGCATGATCTTTTTTTGACAAACCCATTTTGCCTTCTGGTTATGACTTTGTCTCTAGATTATTGCAGATACATCGCTTGATTATCTTTTTCAGACTCTTCCCAGGTATTTAGGTCAGGCTGATACAGCTGTTGTTTCCTGGATCCATTTTTTCCTTTGTTTGAAGATCAGCCTTTTTTCAGTCTTCTTGTATTTCCACTGTGCTACAAGATTTTTGAAAGATATGGTTCAAATGTTCTAAGTTCACGTCTGCCAGTTCCTTCTGAATCTCGAGATATAATCAACTTGATCCTGTTGATTTGAACTTGTCTAAAGTGGATAGATGTTCTCTTACCATCTTCTTGCTTATTATTGCTTATTACAGTATTTTTTATAGGTTGGACTGTTTTTTCTTTTTGTGTAAAGACAGATGCAAAAAATGAGAAGTAATTCTGCCTTCTCCCTGCTGCCCATCATCTCCTTGCCGTTTTCTCTCATTAATGGACTAATCATTTCCTTGACTTTTTATTTGTTTTTTTTTTTTATTTTACACATGGAAATAATCTTTGTTTGTTATTTTGGGCTTTTGTAATTTTGAGCCTTAGCTTTCCTGGTTTCAGTTTTGCAGATTCAAGCTATTTGCTGATATTCTGCCTTAGTTATATTTTTATACTTGTCCTTTTTGTCTTTCAGTTTTTAGAAAGTTCTTTGTGCAGCCATGCTCGGTTTTTTTGGAGATCTCTTACTTTATTTCTACATTGGAATTCTGCCAGATTAGCCTTTTATAATTTCACTTTTCAAACCTTTCCAAGCTTCTTGGCTTTTTTTCCCCTTGAGGATTCTCATCTATGGAATCTTTCTCAAACTCTCTTTAAGTTTATTGAAATCAACTCTCTTACATTCCAAGATTCTTGTTTGACTTTCTTCTATTGCTTGTGCTTGCATGATGCTGAATTTCCAAGGTTCCTGTGACTTCAACAACGTTTATCATTTCTTCTCTGTCAGTGAGAATTAAGTCCAATATGGCTGACCTTCTAGATCTCTTCTCTACCTTTTGGGAGACAAAGTTGACTGCTAGGTTTGTGAGGAATCTATTTGATGTTCCACTAGGTGCAGAGTTTGTCTCCCTGTTTATGTCAGGGTTATTAAAGTCCCCCTGTTACTATGGTGGTACGTTTCTTACATGCCTTAGTTAACTGACTGGCAAAACGTTGATCTATTTCTTCTGTTGCATGGCTGGCCTATGGCAATGTTGTTCTTTTTGCTTTTTATATTGACCTGAATGCCTTCAAGATGGTTTTCATCATTGTTCTTCTGTATTACTATAGAGATGTAGTTATTTCTTATATATGGCACAACTCCACCTCCTCATTTATTAGGTCTGTTTGTTTTAAACAATTTAAATCCCTCTAGTGGTATATTCCATTCATGGGTTTCATCCCACCAAGTTTCCTTAATGGCAACAATATTATACCTGCCCTTATAGACTTGTAATGCTAGTTCACCATGTTTATTCCACATATACTGTTCTACATTGGTTATAGGCATTTGAGTTTTTTTTTTTTTAATTGAGCCTGTGTTTGTTTTCTGTGCTTGTTTTCTAATCTGTTTTGTGTCTGAGAAGCCACCAAATGATAGAAGTCATGATGCCTTATCTCTGGCTTTCAGCCAATTATTGCAATTTCTGAAGGTCACTTTTGTTTCAGATTCTTCCGTATTTGATGAATGTCCAGTTCAACAACAGCGTTGGAGAGGAAATCTCCTTCTCAGAAAAAGGACTGGGATCTGCTCGTTATGACCTTTTCAATTGGGTTCGCCTCCCCAATCAATCAGTTGTTCTTCTGAAAGTTGGACAAATAAATCCTGAGGCTCCGCCAGGCCAGGATGTCACCATTCACTCTAATGCAATTATCTGGCCTACAAAGGTGAGCTGAAAGATTCATTCTGTCCTGGGGATGAAGAATATACTAACTGGAAAACAGAACTCTTGAATCAGGAAACATGACAGCATAATTTTGGGCAAAAAAACCCCTGTTTTTGGATGCAAAATGCTTAAGATCTTACTTATAACAAATCCATAAACATTTAGAACATAGAACAACAGTCCCTAGCATGTTTTATGTCTGCTCCTAATATAAGCCCTACCCCCAAAATAAGCCCTACTTAAGAACCTGTGCCATGACCACAAGTCGACACAGGGGAATGGAGCTGCCCCATGTGCCCAGCACCAGTTTACCTCAGGGCTCCTGCAGCCAGGCCATCCATGCCCTGACACCTGCCTTGTGGCCATCTACAGCAGGAGCCCATGTCGCTGCCAGCCCACTTCTTCTGTTTGCTCACAGCCACAATGGAGTAGGAAGCTGAGCAGTGAGCTGGCACTGTGGCCACGGGGTGATGCAGATGTTGGGACATGGATGGCCAGACTGTGGGGGCCCTGTGGGGTAGACTGATGTGGGACATGTGGGGTAGCTCCATAGAGGTGGCACTGATGTCCCACACGGCCTCCTGCCCCACCATGAACAAGCAGAAGTGGGCCTCCCATACATCGGGAAAAAATAAGACACCCCTTGAAAATAAGCCTTAGTGCTTATTTTGGGGGCCGAAAGAAAATAAGAGTACCTGAGGGTAGGATAAGAGGCAATGGGTATAAACTAATCAAGGAGACAAGCAACTTAGAACTAAGGAGAAACTTCCTGACAGTTAGAACAATTAATCAGTGGAAAAACTTGCCTCCAGAAGGAGTAAATGCTCCAACACTGGAAGTTTTTAAGAAGATGTTGGATAACCATTTGTCTGAAGTGGTGTAGGGTTTCCTGCCTAAGCAGGGGGGTGGACTAGAAGACCTCCAAGGTCCTTTCCAACTCTGTTATTCTATTTCTATTTCTTTTTTTTTTATTGAAAAAGTTTTCAATTACAAATTTTTCCCCCTTTCCCCCCCCTTCCTCCCTAACCCCCCCTCACCACCCCAACCCCCCTCCCCCCTGTGACTTCTTCAAAATAAAAACCTAATACATAACAGATTATATAATATTTTACCATCCCCTTACTCCCTCCTCCAAATACTGACCCTTACTTCTAGTAATATTATTAATATTATTACTTCCTCTCTTACCATACACTTCAAAATAACATTCCATTATAACACTATGTAATAGCTTCTAATTTAACACAGTAACATTATTATAACTCCCAATTTATCGATAATCTGCCCTTTTTTCTCCTCCCCCATACTTATGTCTATATATTAATATAACATTTCAAAACAACCATCCACTTTAAAACTATATAATAAATCCTACTTTAACATTTAATCTTTTGTGTATATTAATATGACATTTCAAAGCAGCCTGCCCCATGAATTCTAGTTTTACATTTGTTCTACTCTATCCATTTCCTCCACTCCCATAAATATATCTCTTAAGCATCCCTTTTCTTAATCTATACAATCAATACACTAGCCTGTCTCCACCCACTTTCCTACAAAATTACCATACACAACAATTCTTAATATCTTTGTTCTTCTGCCCGTCCTACTAAAAAAAAAATTCTATTTCTATTTCTAAGACCCAGTCTTATGGTTTCTGATAGACCCTGGTGAATCATCTCCTGAAGATGGACACAGAATGTGGAAGTGGATAAATGAAGCATGTCCATTGTTTCAGTCGACTCAAGCATTTCTCTTTTCTCTTTTAGAAGGGGCCCTTTGCCAGGTGTGGCCTGAAGAGGTGTAAGGCAGGAGAGAGGAAAAGTGTCCCAGAGGGCGAGCAGGTTTGCTGCTATCTATGTACCCCTTGTCCAGATAGTAGCATTTCTGACCTGACAGGTAGACCATATTTCAACTATAGACTTTCCAGGATCAGTGAACCGTTCTGTAAATCAAAATACTGATATATACATTTTTAAATCATTGTTTGTAGAATTGATATACTTCTACCTTTCAGAGTACAACTAATGGATATTCCCTGTAAATAACTTCTTTCATTTTTCAGAATACTTGGTGCACAATTCTATATCCTTCTCCTTGTAACCAATTTCTTTATAAATCATTTTGGATCAGGAAAAGAGTGCATTCCCTCCCGTGATATTCAATGCACCTTTTTATGTCTTTGTTGTGACTCCAACCCCGAGCCTGTCCTAACAGAGGGAGAGGACTCAGAAGGTGAAGGAGAGGATTTGGCAAGGCCTCCCTCTCCAGGACCCTCCTCTCTGGCAATGCCTCAGGTTTCCTCTGAAGGCCAAGAGATATGCCAGGAGCAAGGCACTTCGGAGAAGCCGCAGATAGAGAGCGAGGGGGATGAGTTTTGGCTGGATCCCAGACAGTGTCAGAAGGATAAGCGCGCATAGCAGAGAAAGAGGTGTGGGTGGGCCAGAGATTGAGCTGAGTCACTGGACCACACCCCACAAGGGATAAAAGGGGGTGTGTCGGCTATTCAGGCCTTGTGACAGACAAATTGAAAAGCTCGGAAGTCATATCATGTTTCTAGAACCCTGTTAGAATCTCTTTTTGGATTTCTTCAGACTGGACTTTGACAATTCTTTGCTTTGTGGAATTAATTTGGTATATCGGACTGAGGAGAAAAAACCTCCCTTAGTGAGTAAAATCTCTTGGCAGGCAGTTCGCTGCTAAGTCTGTTATCTTAAAGGAATTCCTGACTGTTTGATTCATTAACTCCTGGCTGTCTGTTTGTGTGTGTGTGTGTGTGTGTGTGACGGGGACAGAACAGTTTTCCTCTGTTGTATTGTGGACATTCTCAGCACATGACACATGAAAAGATAATGTACACACACACAAAAAAAAAAAGAGAAAGATTTTTGGCTGAGAGATATATCAATCTTTTTGTAGTTCCATTATGAAGTGGGGGGGGGGTCAAGGAATTCTGACACTGAAAGTTAGAATAGTATGAAAGAAAGAAGATTAAAGGTCAAAAAGACTATAGTGGTGTTCTTAAAAAATGATCGACATTATTTAAAGATTGGAAATTTTTGGATTTGGTGGATCTGTTGTTCTGGTTGCTGAATAAATTTAAATTGGAAATTAAAAATGGCTTCAAAACAAATAAAGACTGTTGTTAAAAGTGCTGGGAGCTCGCCAGCTCAAAGGTCCAAATTGCAATCCCTCACTGCTCCAACGGAACCACCAATATTAACACTTGAAATGTTGCAGGAAGCCCTTAAAACACAAGCCTCTGTTACAGAAAAAAAATTACTTCGGCGTTTGAGGATAAAATGTGAGATGTTGCTGATGAGATGGCTGAAATTAAATAGTTTATTCCAATCTTTAAAGAAAATAAAAGAGGCAATTAACTTACTGCGAGGGCAATTTATTATGTTAATGGCAGATCAGGTTGCAACTAACTTGCAATATGCTAAACACAATATTTTTTGCAATGCTAACAAACCAGGGAGATGGTTAGCATATCTGTTAAAGAAAAAACAAAAGTCACAGACTATAGAGAAAATAGAATATAACCATACCCAGTCAAAAAATTATAGGCCTATATCACTTTTAAATACAGATTACAAGATTTTTGCTAAAATACTAGCAAATAGGTTAATGACAGTCATGCAACAAATGATACATAAGGATCAAACTGGTTTTATAAATGGTAGACAAATGAAGAGCAATGTAAGGCAAGTTGTTAACCTATTAGAGTATTTGGGGAAGAACAACCAAATCCCTGCGGTGCTAATATTTCTTGATGTGGAGAAAGCATTTGATTGACTGAATTGGCATTTCTTATTGAAAATAATAGAAAAGATGCAGTTTGGAGAATATTTTAAACAATCTATTAAGGCAATATATCAGAAACAAACAGCGCAAATAATAATTAATGGTAGTTTAACAGATACTTTTAACATAGAAAAAGGAACAAGACAAGGATGTCCCTTGTCTCCATTATTGTTTATTTTGACTTTGGAATTTTTGTTGAGTAAGATAAGTGGGTCGGATAAAATAAATGGAATTAAAATTAGGTAATATGACTACAGATTACGAGCATTCGCAGATGACGTGGTTGTTACTTTAACCCAACCATTACAGTCGGTTGTAGATTTAATCGATATAATTAATCAATATGGACAAGTATCTGGATTTAAAATAAATGCAGGGAAAACGAAGATAATAACTAAAAACATGACTACAAATCAAAAAGATGAATTAGAAAGACTAACAGGATTTGAAATAGTAAAAAAAGTTAAGTATTTAGGGGTTTATATCATGACATCAAATGCGAAATTATTTAAGCATAATTATGATCCATTGTGGCAAAAAATACAGAGAGAGTTGGAAAATTGAAAAAAAACTACAATTATCTTTGTTGGGAAGAATAGCAGCAGTAAAAATGAATGTTTTGCCTAAGTTTTTATTTCTTTTTCAAATGATACCAATACTTAAAAAAGATGAAAATTTGAAGATATGGCAGAAGGGTATTAATAATTTTGTTTGGGCAGGAAAGAGACCGAGAATAAAACAAAAAATAATGCAGGATATACGTAAAAGAGGAGGTCTCAAAATGCCCAATTTAAGATTATATTATGAGGCAGCTGCTCCATCAGCAATTAGTGACTGGATGAATTCAACAGAAGAAAGAGTATTGAATATTGAGGGATATGATTTGGTCTATGGTTGGCATGCTTATTTATTATATGATAAGAAAGTGGATAAGACTTTTAAAAGTCACATATTAAGGAATGCTTTATTGCGTGTCTGGAAAAAGTATCAGTATAAATTAAACGATAAGTTACCAATGTGGGCAATACCCAGACACGCGATAGAGAATATAAGTGTAGAGCAAAAACAAGATGTGACTACTTATAAGGAGCTTCTTAATAAGGAAAGAGGTATACTACAACTAAAATCTTTGAATCAATTAAGAGAAGAAAGGATAATTCAAACATGGTTTCAGTATGGACAGTTGCAAGCTAGATGGAGAGAAGATTAGAAAGTTGGTATCTTGCAAAATGAGGAGAATTTGGTAAAACGAATTAGAGACCAAAGTCAAATGCATATAAAAAGGTTGTATAATGCATTAGTAGAAATAGATTCAGAAACAGAGCTAGTTAAGGACTGTATGATAAAATGGGCACAGAATATTGAAGAACCAATAATGATGGAAACGTGGGAAAAAATATGGGTTAGAAATGTAAAGTTTATGCAAGCCCAAAACTTAAGAGAGAATTTTTATAAAATGTTTTATAGATGGCATCTAGATCCTAAAAAGCTAGCCTGTATGTATCCAAGTTTGCAACTTAAGTGTTGGAGATGCGAAAGTGATGATGCTACGTATTATCATATATGGTGGACATGTAAAAAAATTAAGGCATTTTGGATAAAAATATGGTGGATTATCCAAAACATTCTCAAGAAGAAGATAAAATTTACTCCACAGTTCTTTCTGTTGGGTATAATTACAGATTGTACGGATATAGAGACTAAATTGATTTTAAATTTAATAACAGCAGCCAGACTTCTGGTGGCGCAGTATTGGAAGAAGGAAGACTTACCTACTATTGAAGAATGGATGTTAAAAATAGTGAATTTAGCAGAGATGGCAAAAATTTCGGCATACTTGAAGGACCATTCAAATGAAAGATATATATCGGAATGGAGAAGATGGATTGACTATAATTGACAAGTTTTAAATTATGGGCCAAATTTATAAATTATTTTAACTTTATTTTTTAACTGTGATGTTTGTATAGATGTTTTTTATCTGGCTGTTCACCGCCCTGAGTCCGAAAGGAGAAGGGCGGTATAGAAATTCGAATAAATGAAATGAAATGAATTCAAAACAAATATCGGACTAAAAAGTTTCAAATAGCCTATGAATGAAACCAAAATTTTCTTTTTGAATTATGTTTTCTTAGAAGAAAGGGGAGTTAAAGAGTAAGAGGGAGTTTGGACATGACAGAAAGTTAGCATATTTTAGTTTATGTGTGTTAAATATTATATCCTGTATTTGCTCTGGGAAGTCCGGGGTGGGGGGAGGGGGGAGGGGGGTTGGAGGGAGAGGGGGGTTGGAGGGAGAGGGGGGGAGGAGGGATGGGGGGAGGAGGGATGGAAAAAATTGTTGTAATACTTGATAAAACTTTTAATTTTAAAAAAGAAAGAAAGTTAGAATAGTCATGAAAGTGTCCAGTAAATAATCAGGACTTTTTCCCACAACAAATTGACTAGGCCAGGTAGAGATGAATAGATCCATGTCCCTGGCAAATTATCCATGGATCATTAATAGTGAAGGATTGGCCTTTTTTGGATCTACCATGAAATCCACAGTGGTTCATTCGATCAGTTCCTGTGGGGGCTGGCCATAAGACAAAGAGGACAGTCTTGTTATCCCTGAGGATGAGACAATGCTAATTACAGATGACTTACATAAAGACTCTTGATTTCAGATGCAGCTGAATGTGATCCTTGCCCAGAAGACCGATACCCCAACAAGGACAAGGTCCACTGCATTGCCAAGAAGATCCACTTCCTTGCCTATCAAGACACCCTGGGCTATGTTTTAGCTTCTTTAGTACTTTTCTGTTTTCTGATCACTGTTGCTATCCTGATGACTTTCCATAAACATCACAACACACCAATTGTCAAGGCCAACAACCGAGATCTCACCTACATCCTCCTGGTCTCCCTCCTGCTCTGCTTCCTCTGCTCCTTCCTTTTCATTGGTCAACCTGGGAAGCTCACCTGTCTCTTCCGACAAACTGCCTTTGCCATTCTCTTTGCCCTTGCAGTTTCCTCTGTCTTGGGAAAAACTGTCATGGTGGTTCTGGCCTTCATGGCCACCAAGCCAGGAAACAAGGCAAGGAAACTCTTAGGAAAACCACTGACCAACTCCATAGTCTTAGGTTGTCCGCTTGTCCAAGCAGTTCTTTGTGTCACATGGCTGGCAACTTCTTCCCCATTTCTCAACATGGATTTCCATTCTTTGGCAGGAGAGGCCATCATAGAATGTAAGGAAGGTTCAATTTCAATGTTTTATGCTGTCCTTGCCTACCTTGGTTTCCTGGCTCTTATGAGTTTCACAGTGGCCTTTATGGCCAGGAAATTGCCTGACAGCTTTAACGAAGCGAAGTTCATTACTTTTAGCATGCTGGTCTTTTGCAGTGTTTGGATCACCTTCCTCCCCACCTACCTGAGCACCAAAGGGAAATCCGTGGTGGCTGTGGAGATCTTCTCCATCTTGGCTTCTGGGGCTGGTCTCTTGGCTTGTATCTTTTTCCCCAAATGCTTCATTATCCTATTGAGGCCCAATTTGAATTGTAGGGAGAATATAATAAGGCAAAAAAATTTGCTGATTTAGGTGGAGATTGGGGGCTGTGATTTTGGTATTCAATCTGATTTCTAAAATAAATCATGAAATGCAAGGAAATGTTGTCCATTAAATAATTGGAAATAACATTATATGACTAATCACAAAATATTTGTTAATCGGTAACAATCACCAATCTTTTTATTCTTCATTCTTTCTTGTTGTACCCAGTGAGACCCCAGTAATCTAGATAGAAGTAGACTTTTCTATGAAATCACATGTGGATATTAGCTCCCAACAGGACAGTTCCTCACTTCATTTATTTTAATCCAGAGAGTCTTTAAAGTTTTGCCTGTTGTGTTCATTATCCATGTTGATAAGCATGTCCCCTAAGGATGTTCTGAATAAGACACTGGAATGAATGAATGAATGAATGAATGAATGAATGAATGAATGAATGAATGAATGAATGCAGATGGGATACAAGTTGGTGGAAAGGGAAACGGTAAAACTGCCTGGAAACTTAACCAAATGTTAGAAAACGAAACATTTATATTTTGCCTATTTCAACAAGAGAAAATCAAAATTATTTTATTTTGTATTTTATTTTCTTGTATACACTGTTTTTCAAAAATCACTCCCCTTATAAATTTTGTCATGTAATTTACATAACAAATTATCTTTGGACTTTGGAATTGCACACCGAGACATGCATGCACATAAAGACACACTATATACTGTATGTGGCATTCTATATTTCTATTCTGTTTATATTCTCCCCTTCCTTTGAATACATCATGTTCACCAGGGGTGGGTTCTACTTATCTTTACTACCGGTTCGCAATGGAACCGTGCACATGCACAGAAGCTTTCTAACAACTTCCGGGTCAGTGGGTGGAGCCTCCCGCCGGTTTTACTACCAGTTCTTTACTACTGATGTTCACCCTGTTTGTTCCTGAAACTTTGAGCATTAGAGTATAAGTATTTGAGTCCTTTATGGCTGATCCTGCCTATGCTTCCTGTGTCTCCTATTTTATACCAGGGTTTTACTTCCTTCTCATCACTTACTACCTCATTGGATGATTGGGTGTCTTGGAGTTTGTGCTTGGAATTAAGTCCTAAAGATCCTAAAAAATTATCACCTTCCGTTTCATTTTTAGTTTAGAGACCTCCTGATCAATTGAGGCAGTTGCTTTCTGAATACATTTTGCCCGGTTCTTGTAAGGTGCAGCCCATCCTTTTCCAAAAGCCCCTCATGTACTTAATGTAGACCTCTTTTCACTTTCCTGAAGCTCAGGGGAGACTTACCTTACTGCATCTCTGGAGATAGAGGCCACTGAAATTGTTTATCTCTTATATGGCAAATAAAAAAAGCAAAAAAAAAAATCAGTTCTCCGTTTTGTGCAATCAATTAAATCAAACTGAAATATAGAGACATAATGCCACAGGCTCTTATCTTAGTACAATAGTCCCATGGATGTGCAATTGATTTTTTAAAAAACTTTTGGTGTCTGGCATTCTGCTTCCTCCTCTTGATTTATGGGAGATGATTTTTTCCCAGCCCTACATTTTATTGTTTTATTCCTCACTTTGGGTTTCTGAAGGAAAACTGGCAAAAGAAGTAAGTTGAAATCCCTTACTTACAGTAACTCAAATTCCCTGACCAAAGAATATGCATGCTTCTTCTCCGCTGCCTTTCTTAAATGTATAAATATAAGGGTTTCCTTTAGTTGGGTGGGATCTCTAAATATTTGGACGGAGTCCTTCCAGCATCTCCCGTTTAATAAACGCTTGATTATTTGCTGTTTGATTACACACTGTGCATCTATTCTTGTTAAACCACCCGGTCAAGAGGTTTATGGTGAGTGGTGGCATCTTTCCCACAACAGTCAACAATGAAGAATGCCCACTTCACAAGAAAAATGCACCAGACAAACATTTCTGGCTCTAACTAGTTTTTAGATAAGACTCCTGTAGAGTTTAACTAAGTCTAACATCTTGAGAAACCTTCCTGCTTCTTGTTAAGAACTATGTGAGAAGTTGGGAATTAACTTTACTTCCCCTGCCATGCGGGGATAGATAAACCAGCTTTTCCATCCAAACATTAGTTTGATTACTCACACTCGCAAGAGTACACCTGACTGTCATGTGGCACCATGACCCATTAGCACTCATACTACCTGAATACACTATGGAACAGGCCAAACTCCACCTTGTGTGCAGGTGTTCGTTTTCAGGTAGGTCAAATGCCAAAGTTCCCCTTGACTCTGAAGTCCACCTGCTCTGTGGATTAGCAACAAGAGACACACAAAAATGTTTTTCCCTTTCTGGAGCACAAACAAAATGGAGTGATAAGTGGATGGGACAATTGCTTTCCCCTGTAATTATCAGAAGAATAGTAATTGTTGATGTATCCCCAGTGGATTTTAAGATACAAAAATCTTCCGAGAGAAAACCTGCTTTAAAAAAAAATATGCTTGGAGTTCTCCAGCTGGGGGCAGAATGAGCCACTTCAGCTTGCCTTGCCACAGCCCAAACAAAGGTAAGAGAAAGCATATTTGATATATTTGTCCTGAAGCTATCCAGGTGGCATCTCCTGTGTTTATCCTGTTAAAGCTCTGGTAAAATTTAAAGTGATGCCTGCAATTCAGCTTCTGTACAATCTTGATTTCTGATCTAGGAAGGAAGGTGACAAGAATGACTGGGCTGCCTCTCCAGCTGTGGCTCCTGTCTCTAATTATTGCTAAGGGGATGCAAACCCTTTCTGTGTTGCCCCAACCTTACAAGATCCAGGAAAATTATTACAGGCCTGGTGATCTCATTATTGGTGGGAATTTGCACTTGGGACTCTACTGGGAACTTTACTTACATTTTAACAAAGACCCATATGTGTTGTCTCTCTCATATTTGTAAGTTTTACCCGGAGGACAAATATCTGGGTGATTGCTCAGAAATATTTCTTCTTATGATATTTCAATTTCCTGCTGGAGTTCAAATATTTGTGCTTTTCTCAATAAAACTGATTAAAGACTGATTAAGTAAGATAGTTTTTCTTTCCAAAACTCTTCATCAAGACAATGATGAGTGAGGAGGGACAACAGCTTAGGAATTTTACTAGCCTAATGAAGACGTTGACTTACAATGTGAATTTGGACAGAAAGTGGTGATGGAAGACTCAAGGAAATGAGCCACACTTTCCCAGTGTGGGATACTGCCAAAAACACAAGATTTGGAACCAGCAGTGCTTATGAAAAATGGCCCTCACTGTTGTGTCAAAACAAAAAGTTGTGGTTGTAATGTTGTTATTTTCTACTGTGCTATAGAGAGTCAGAAGGTGGTGCCTTTTTCTTTTCTTTTCCCCCTTTACCTTATATCTTTTTTCCTTTCCCCCTTTTTTAGTTTTTCACATTTTTAAAAAATATTATACTTGGATAAATTAATAAAAAATTTAAATTGGAATAATGCCCTTCAATAAATATTTGCTATTTCCCACTGGACTCTTGTGATCTGCAATGGTTGCCTGGCCTGAAGAAGCTGCTCCAAAGAGAACAAAATTGATTAGGTTACTAGAACTACAATAGGGAAGGATTGCAACCACTGAAGCAAAGTGAAGAAGTAGGGGATGATAGATGGATATAAAACAGTGCATGTTTTATACATCTTAAAAAAAACCCAACCCCATTGATATCTGGGACTTCCTTTCCCAAGGAAAACCCACAAAGAGAGAAGACATCACACAGGAGCTTAGGTGTAACATTTCACAATGTTTCTCTCACTATAGACCCACACCTAACAACTACCAGCTGTTCATGGCCCTGGTGTTTGCAGTGAGAGAGATCAACAAGGATCTGGTTCTCCTCCCCAACATCACCCTGGGCTTCAACATGTATGACAATGCCAATTGGAACAAGAGAGTTTCTTTGATCAGCCTCTTTCTGCTCTCCACACGTGACCAAATGGTTCCAGGCTATAAATGTGACCAGCGGGACACTCTCTTCTCTGTCATTGGAGGTGACAACCCCAAATTCTCAATGCCGATGGCCTCCATCTTCAGCATCCTCAAGGTCCCACAGGTAAGGGGGCTTCTTCAGATACAGTTATGGAGTAGACAAGCTACAGAAGCAGAGAAATCCAAGATGACACCAAAAGGAGGCTGAACATGAATACCATATGACTTACAGAATTGGTGCCACAGTTGCATACATTTTATATTTTAGGTGTCAAGATATTTTATAAAGCCCTTAAGAGATACATAATATTTCAAGACAAATTCCTTCCTAAATATTATTCATAGAAATGTAGCTGCTCTTTCACTGTAGATTATTCCCTGTACCAAATTTAGGGTTTGTTTCCTTGGATTCTGACATGTTACAAGCAGGGAAAATATGTTAATTGCTGGCTTTTCCTAAGAAAGGAAAAAGCTTGCCAGTATCTCTCAAAATGACTCATCTCGGGGTCAGTAAAATACACTACGGGGACCCCTAAAGTCACCACCAATCTTTACTTTTGTCTTTTAAAGAAGATTCTCACTTTTTCCAGCTCAGTATTGGCTTTGAGTTCATTCAGGGAGACCGAAGAGTTTATCCTTCCTCCTTCCGGATTAATCCCAAGGATTTTCCTCAATTTCTGGGTTTAGTCCGGATGCTCCTGTATTTCCAGTGGAACTGGGTTGGGCTTATTGTCTCTGAAAATGAGAACGGAGAACGTTTCCTCTCAACTCTGAGGCCCATGCTCATGGAGAAGGAGATCTGCCTGGCTTTCACTCAAATGGTGAAACATGATTTCTCTCATGCAGAAGTGTTCAAATTCACCTTACATTCAAAGATATGGGCTAATGTTGAAGTTATTCTTTCCTTTGCAGAACCTGACACTTTTGAAATGTTTCTTTTAACTCTGAACTATTATTTAATTGGTCAAAGACCATGTCCAAAAGTTTGGATCCTTACTACGTATTGGAAGCCATACACAAGCCATCTTCATGACAGATGGAGAGCTTTAAAGCATTTGCATGGGTCTCTGCATTTTAGGGACCACAGCAGAAATATCTCCGAATTCAGCAATTTCCTCTTCTCTTTAGACCCTTTGAACCCTCAAGGAGATATGATCCTCCCATTATGGTGGGAAAAGGTCTTTGACTGTGAGTTCCACAAACCAGGTCACTATTTTATAAAATGGAAAAAATATTGTACAGGAAAAGAGAATTTACGGAATCTGCCCACCTACATGTTTCAATCAAGCATGACAGGTGAAAGTTACAATGTCTACAATGCCATTTATGCTGTGGCACATGCTTTACATGCTATGCATGGATCTGGATCCCGACTGGCCCTGATGAGACTTGGAAAGAGAATATCAATTGTTCAATCCTGGCAGGTAATCTGTGTCGCTTTTTAATCAGTCCATAGATCTTAGAGTGGAAACTTCCCACCTGTATTACCTGAAATATTCATGAAATATCTGTATGCTACTATATTGGTGTACTTCAGAACAAATTGCAACAATAAATGAAAGAAAAAACTGAGTTTAGGGTTGAGTTTATAAAATCATGGAATGTGCAGAGTCCGACAGACTTACAAAACTGATCAAGGGTAAAAGAGACTCAGACTTTATGGTAGTTTGGATATGTGGTATGATTGGACCCAGAAACAATGGGAGAGAGACAAAGGATAATGTTGGTTTATAATTATAAATGATTGTATATTTATGGCAATCAATAAGTATTGGAAAGATAAATTTATATACAGGAATCTGTAAATATTTTCTATTTTTACTCTCTGATTACGGATATATATATATATATATATATATATGGATATTTTGGCGATGTTACACCGTGATAGAAAAATTATTATATATTTATTTTTGATTTTTCTTTTTGATGCTCTAATAAAATTTATTTTAAAAAAAGAAAGAAAGAAAATCTGAGTTTAGTATAATGGGTTGAAAATAGGTAGGGGTGGGGGAGAGACAAGAATTTTAAACCAGTTGTGTCTAAGATCTACAGAGGAAATATCTTCATATAACATCCTGAAAGGTCTTCAAAGGTTGCCTGAGTTTCATGGAGGAGGTGTCAACCCAGAACAAGATGACAATCTGGGTGTGTTGGTACAAGATGCTTCAAAGAGGCAATTGAAGTCCTAGGGGGCAAATTTCCAGAACCATTTCAGTTTCTCTCAGTATATAGTATGAATCCAACCTGCTCCTGATCTAAAAATCATCAGACTTTTCTGAATCAAAACCTAATTGTTAGACATTTCTGCACAATGATGTGACAAGCCACTTCCACATGGACCCACTTAATCAGACCTGGTTTTTGCATTCTAGTCTTTTTTTCTATCACATAGAGAGAATCAGTCCAGTTCTACATTGTTTTGAAAGAAATTATTCAATCGTTCCATTGCATTTAAAATACAAATTTTAAAATATATGTGGACAGGTATCACAGAAGGAAAGTCATACAAGGAAATTTCAAGTGTGGCATTAAAATCTTTGTATGTAGATATCACTCTGGTAAAACTATAGTTCAACAAGCCATGATACAAATGCCCAATGATAAAGGGGAACTTTGTGGTGCTGAGGAAATAGCTCAGTGTTTAGTGTTACTCCTGATTGCTCAGATCGCCACCAAGGGAACACTGCCCTATATCTTGTTAAACATACTCCTATCTCCTAAAATGAGTGTCATAACAGAATAACAGAGTTGGAAAGAACCTTGGAGATTTTCATTCCAACTTCCTGCTCAAGTAGGAAACCCTATATCAGAGGTCTGCAACCTGCGGCTATGGAGCCGTATGTGGCTCTTTCATCCCTCTGCTGCAGCTCCCTGTTGCTCAAAATATGTGTCACAACCACCAATGTGGTTGAGCCGAGGTGGCGCAGTGGTTAGGGTGCAGTACTGCAGCTACTTCAGCTGACTGCTAGTTCAGCAGATCAGCGGATCAAATCTCACCGGCTCAAGGTTGATTCAGCCTTCCGTCCTTCCGAGGTGGGTAAAATGAGGACCCAGATTGTGTTGGGGCAATATGCTATTTAGTAGACTGTCTTTGGTGTAAGCCGCCCAGAGTCCTCGGAGAGTGGGTGGCATAGAAATATGATTAATAAAAAAAAAAGTGTGACACCTGCTGCACGTGATTTATTGAGCTTTTCGGTCCATCTTTTTTTTCGGAGTTCAAAATGTTTTTGTTGCATGCAGAAATAAAAATGTGTTTTCTCTGTAGCAAGTCATTGATTTCATAAATGCAGCACGCTATAGCTTTTTTTTTTTTTTATGCATAGCATAAAGGTAAAAAGTGATGTATGCAGTGTTTATCTTCATTGTAGATGTCAAAAGGGTTTTGTGGCTCCCGGTGTTTTCTTTTCTGTGGGAAATGGGTCCAAATGGCTATTTGAGTGTTTAAGGTTGCCGACCCCTGTCCTATACCATTTCATACCTCTGGTTATCCAATCTCTTCTTTGAAACCTCCAGTAGTAGAAGCCATGATGCCTCATGTGTGGCTTTCAACCAATTACTCCAATGTTTGAAGATCTCTTTTGTTTCAGCTTCTTCCTTACTTGATGAATGTCCAGTTCAACAATGGTGTTGGAGAGGAAGTCTCCTTCTCAGAAAAAGGACTGGGATCTGCTTGTTATGACCTTCTCAATTGGGTTCGCCTTCCCAATCGATCAATTGTCCTTCTGAGAGTTGGGCAAATAAATCCTGGGGCTCCCCCAGGTCAGGATGTCACCATTCACTCTGGTGCAATTGTCTGGCCTACAAAGGTGAGCTGGAAGATTCATTGTCTCCTGGGGATGCAGAAAATAGTATTACTGAATCAGAAAACAGGAAAGCATAACATTTGGTGAAAACGTGCTTTGCATGTAAGACATCTGCAATATGATTTGTGTCATGATTGGGAAGAACTTTGTGTAACCCAGTTGGCCATTAGAGCAGGCAACTGTGATTTATCAGGACCATTTCCATTGTAGGATCCAACACAGGACTCAAACACAATAATTGAGGCTCATTGCAATGTATTTTTTAAAATTTAATAGTATGCACTGATACTGTACAGTGTCACTGAACTGAATCCCCTGGGAGCTGTGGTGAGATCCTGGTGAACCATATCTAAAGATAGACATGTGATGTGGAAATGGATAAACGAAGCATGTCCAGGTTTTTTTGTCATCTCAAGCATTTCTCTTTTCTTTTTAGAAGGTGCCATTTGCCAGGTGTGGCATGAAGAGGTGCCAGGCAGGAGAGAGGAAAAGTGTCCCAGAGGGTGAACAGGTTTGCTGCTACCTATGTACCCCTTGTTCAGATGGGAGCATTTCTGATCTGACAGGTAGAGCATATAGACCTTCAAATATACACCTTCCAGAATCAGTGAACCATTCTGTGAATCAAAATATTGATTTCTTTTTATCATTGTTCATAGCACTGATAGGCTTCAAAGTTTCAGGATACAGAGATTTTCCCTGTAAATCACTCCTTTCCCTTTTCAGAATTCTTGGTGCCCAATTCTATATCCTTCTCGTTGTAACTAAATCACTTTGGATCAATAAAAGAGAACATTCCCTCTCGTGATATTCAATGCACCTTTTTATGTCTTCCTCTCTTGCATTGTGGACATTCGATAACGTAATGGACACACCAACACAAAAAAGAGAGCAAGATTTCTGGCTGATAGATATATCAGTCTTTTTGCAGTTCCAGTATGAAGTGGTTTACTATAGTCATGCAAGTGTCCAGTGAATAGACAGGACCATTTTTCCACAGCAAACTGTTCAGGCCAGCTAGAGATGAATAGATCCATGTCTCTGAGTAAACTAACATAGCATCATTAATAAAGAATGAGGGTTGGCCTTTCTTTGATCCACCATGAAATGCACAGTAGGTCATTCCATCACTTCCTTTGGGGTTTGACCATAGCATAAAGGGGACACTCATGTTACCCCTGAGGGTGAGATAATGCTAATTACAGATGACTCTTAAATCCTTACATTAAGACTCTTCATTTCAGATGCAGCCCAATGTGATCCTTGCCCGGAAGATCAATACCCCAACAAGGATAAGGTCTACTGCATTGACAAGAAGATCCACTTCCTTGCCTATCAAGACCCCCTGGGATATGCTTTAACTTCTTTAGCTCTTTTCTTTTCTCTGATCACAACTGCTATCCTGGTGATTTTCCATAAGCATCATGACACACCAATTGTCAAGGCCAACAACCGAGATCTCAGCTACATCCTCCTGGTCTCCCTCCTGCTCTGCTTCCTCTGCTCCTTCCTCTTCATCGGTCAACCCAGGAAGCTCACCTGTCTCTTCCAACAATCAGCATTTGCCATCCTCTTTTCTCTTGCAGTTTCTGCTGTTTTGGCAAAAACTGTCATGGTGGTTTTGGCCTTCATGGCCACCAAGCCAGGGAACAGGACAAGGAACCTCTTAGGAAAACCACTGACCTACTCCATTGTCTTAGGCTGTCCCCTGATCCAAGCAGTTTTGTGTGTCATGTGGCTGGCAACTTCTCCCCCATTTCTCAACATGGATTTCCATTCCTTGGTCAGAGAGACCATCATAGAATGTAAGGAAGGTTCAATTTCAATGTTTTATGCTGTCCTTGCCTATCTGGGTTTTCTGGCCCTTATGAGTTTCACAGTAGCCTTTATGGCCAGGAAATTGCCTGACAGCTTCAACGAAGCGAAGTTCATTACTTTCAGCATGCTGGTTTTCTGCAGTGTTTGGATCAGCTTCCTCCCCACCTACCTGAGCACCAAAGGGAAGTCCATGGTGGCTGTGGAGATCTTCTCCATCTTGGCCTCTGGGGCTGGTCTCTTGGCTTGTATCTTTTTCCCCAAATGCTTCATTATCCTATTGAGGCCCCATCTGAATTGTAAAGAGACTATCATGAGGCAGAAGAATTGCTGATTTAGCTGGAGATTGGGCACTGTGATTTTGGGATATTTTTGTATTCAATCTGATTTCTAAAATAAATCATGAAATGCAAGGAAATGTTGTCCATTAAATAATTGTAAATAACTTTATGTGACTAATCACAAAATATTTTTGATCAGGAACAATCACCAATCTTTTTATTCTTCATTCTTTCTTGTTGTATCCAGTGAAACCGCAGTAATCAAGATAGAAGCAAAATTTTGTATGAAATCACATGTGGATATTAACTCCCAACAGGACAGTTCCTCACTTTATTTATTTTAATCCAAAGAGTCTTTAAAGTTTTGCTGGTTGTGTTCATTATCCATGTTGATAAGCATGTTCCCTAAGGATGTTCTGAATAAGACACTGGAATGAATGAATGAATGAATGAATGAATGAATGAATGAATGAATGAAGATGGGATACAAGTTGGTGGAAAGGGAAAGGTAGAACCTGAAAACTTAACTGAATGTTAGCAAACAAAACATTTATATTTTGTCCATTTCAGCAAGAGAAAATCAAAATTATTTTATTTTGTATTTTATTTTCTCATATACACTGTATTCCCACAATCACTCCCCTTATAAAATTTGTCATGTAATTTACATAACAAATTATCTATGGGGCCTGACTTTGGAATTGCATACACATAAAGACACACTGTATATGTGGCATTCTATATTTTTATTCTGTTTATATTCTCCCCTTCCTTTCAATACATCAAGTTCACCCTGTTTGTTCCTGAAACTTTGAGCATTAGAGTATAAGTATTTGAGTCCTTTAATGGCTGACCCTGCCTATGCTTCTGTATCTCCTATTTTATATCAGGGTTTTACTTCCTTCTCATCACTTTCTACCTCATACAGTAAGTCCTAAAGAGCTTAAAAATTGATCATCCTTCCCCTTCATTTTTAGTTTAAAGACATCCTGATGAGTTGAACCAGTCACTTTCTGAATACATTCTGCCTGGTTCTTGTGAGGTGCAGCCCATCCTTTGCCAAAAGCCTTTCATGTAGTTAATACAGACCTTTTCCACTTTCCTGAAGCTCAGGTGAGACTAACCTGACTGCATCTCTGTTTGGAAATAGAGGCCAAGAGCGGCCACTGAAATTGAGCATCTCTTATGTGCAAAAATCTGTTCCAACTTGAGTGCAATCAATCAAATTGAAATGTAGAGACATAATGACACAGACTATTATCTTAGTACATTAGTCCCATGGACATGCAATTGATTTTTTAAAACAACTTTTGGTGTCTGGCATTCTACGTCCTCCTCTTGATTTATGGAAGATGACTTTTCTCCCTGCCCTATTGTTGTTGTTTTTATTCCTCACTTTGGGTTTCTGAAGGAAAACTGGCAGAGGAAGTAAGCTGAGCTCCAATATTTATCTTCGAAATGACTGACCTATGAATATGTATGCTTACACCTTCTGTTGCATATGCATTAGTCTCCCCTGCCTTTCTTAGATGTATAAATATGAGCGTTTAGTTGGGTGGGGTCTCTCTCAGTGTTTGGAATGAGTGCTGCTGGCACATACTGGTTAATAAACACTTGATTATTTTGGTTCTCTGTTTGATTTCACACTAGTACTTACCCACCCAGTCCAGAGTTTTACCATGAGTGATGGTAAATGTCCCACAACAGTCAACAATGAAGAAAGCCCACTTCATAAGAAAAGCACAGCAAAGAAACTTTTCCAGCTCTAACTAGTTTTTAGACAATATTCCTGTGGAATTTTGGGTAGCCTAACATCTTGAGAAATGCTCCTACCTATTGCTAAGAACCACTGGAGAAGTTGGGAAGAAGCTTTTCATCCCCTGCCACGTGGGGATAAATAAACCAGCTATTCCATCCAAACATTCATGTTTACTAAAGTACAACTGACTGTCATGTGCCACCATGACCTGTTATCACTCATATTACCTGAACGAACTATGGAACAGGCCAGAGGTGGGTTTCAGCAGGTTCTGGCCAGTTCTGGAGAACCGGTAGCGGAAATTTTGAGTAGTTCAGAGCAGGGGTGGGTTCTAATTTTTTTTACTACTGGTTCTGTGGGCATGGCTTATTTTGTGGGCATGGCTTGATGGTCATGTGACAATTATTTAGGATTTAGCAGAGGTACTGGTCTACCAGGCTTTTAACTGCTTGCACAGGTGTACCCATCTACCCATTTATTTTTTGCAGGCACTGGTCTACCCATTTATTTTTGTAGGCCCTGAACTACTCATGTATTTTTGCAGGCACTGATCTACTCATGTATTTTTGCAGGCACTGATCTACTCATGTATTTTTGCAGGCACTGGTCTACACATTTATTTTTGCAGGCACCGGTCTACTCATTTGTTTTCTTTTAACACTGATCAGCTGTAGGGTGGCCTTTTGAAGCTCCGCGGTAAGAGTTTAAACAGTTTTTTTCCCTCTAGCTGATCAGCTGGGACTCAGGAGGCAGCAATAGATTGGGGGTGGGGCCAAATAAAAGGTAAGAATAATGCGGGGGCGGGGGTTCAGGGGGCCAGAACCAGTTTGGTGACATCATATCATCACCGCTACCGGCTCGGAAGAACCGGGTTAAACCAGGAGGAACCCACCACTGGTTCAGAGAACCGGTAAATACCACCTCTGATTGGCCTTGCCCCCGTCTATTCTCTTCCTCCCAAGTCCCAGCTGATCGGGAGGAAATGGGGATTTTGCAGTAATCTTCCCCTGAATTGGGGAGGGAATGGAAATTTTACAGTATCCTTCCCCTGCCATGCCCACCAAGCCACACCCACCAAGCCATGCCACACCCACCAAACACCCACAGAACCTGTAGTAAAAATTACTACCGTTGGAATAGGCCAAACTCCACCTTGTGTATAGGTACTCAATTTCATTTAAGTCACTTCCCCTTGACTCTCAAGCTCATCTGTTCTCTGGATTAGTAATAAGAGACACAAATGTGTTTTTTCCCTTTCTGGTGCATAAACAAAATGGAGTGCTAAGTGGGCGAGACAATTGCTTCTCCTTGCAATTATCAGAACAGTAATTAATGCATCCCCTGTGGATTTCAAGGCACAAAAATCTTCCAAGATAAAAGAATAGAATAGAATAGAATTCTTTACTGGCCAAGTCTGATTGGACACACGACAAATTTGTCTTGGTACATACGCCCTCAGTGTACATCAAAGAAAAGATACTTTCGTCAAGAATCAAAAGGTACAATACTTAATGATAGTCATAGGGAAACAGTCAATATAAATCTTAAGGATACCAGCAACAAGATTACAGTCATACAGTCATAAGTGGGAGGAGATGGGTGATAGGAATGAGGAGAAATTTAATAGTAATGCAGACTTAGTAACTATTTTTACAGTGTTGAGGAAATTATTTGTTTAGCAGAGTGATGGCGTTCAGGAAAAATCTGTTCTTGTGTCTATTTGATCTGGTGTGCAGTGCTCTATAGCATCATTTTGAGGGTAGGAGTTGAAACAATTTATGTCCAGGATGCGAGGGGTCTGTTAATATTTTCACAGCCTTCTCTTTGACTCGTGCAGTATACAGGTCGTCAATGGGAGGCAGGTTGGTAGCCATTGTTTTTTCTGCAGTTCTAATGATCCTCTGAAGTCGGTGTCTGTCTTGTTGGGTTGCAGAGCCAAACCAGACATTTATAGAGGTGCAGATGACAGACTCAATCATTCCTCTCTAGAACTGGATCAGCAGCTCCTTGGGCAGTTTGAGCTTTCTGAGGTGGCACAGAAAGAACATTCTTTGTTGTGCTTTTTTGATGACGTTTTTGATGTTGGGTGTCTATTTTAGGTCGTGAGATATGGTAGAATCTAGAACTTTGAAGGTCTCTACTGTTGATACTGTGTTGTCTAGTATTGTAAGAGATGGTAGTATACAGTAAAACAGGTTTTAAATAAATATGCTTGGAGTTCTCCAGGTGGGAGCAAGCAATGCCACCTCACCTTGTCTTGCAAAGAGCTCACCTCCTGTGTTTGTTTGAGGAGACTCAGCTGCCCTAAATTTTCTCTTTCGTCACAGCCCAAATGCAGGTAAAATGTTTAAATCAGAATACATCTAGAAGGGACCTTGAAGATCTCTTAGTTCAACCCTCTGCTCAAGCGGGAGATCCTATACCATTTCAGATAGGTGGCTGAAATGAAATACAAACAAGGATTGTATTGGTTTTTTGGCTGGTGCCACACACGGCTGATTCATGTTTAAGTGATTGTCCACAAAGACTCAAAGGTCCCTCTCACAGTTACTGTTTCTTAGCCAGGTTTCACATACTCTGTATTTGTACTTTTTTGGGGGGGTTTCCCTGCTTAAGAGAAAATCTTGCTTTTCTCCACATTAAATTTCATGTTATTGGATAGGGTGCATTGTTCAAGTTTGTCAAGATCTTTTTGGATCCTGAGCTTGTCTTCTGGGGTGTTGGCTATTCCTGCCAGCTTAGTGTCATCTGCAAATTTGATGAGTTCCCCATCCATTCACTCAACTAAGTCATTTATGAAAATGTTGAAGAGTACTGGCCCTAAGAGGGAACGTTGTGGTACACCACTGCTTACTTCCCTCCATGTGGATGTAGTACCATTACGGACTACTCATTGAGTTGAGTTTATCAGCAGTTACAAATCCATCTAGTGTTTCTGTTGTCTAGCCTGCATTTTTCTAGTTTACCAAGAAGTAGATTCTGCTCTATTCGGTCAAATGCTTTGCTGAAGTCTAAGTATACTATGTCCATAGCATTTTGCTGGTCTGCTAATTTGTCACTTTGTCAAAGAATGAAATAAGTTTGGTTTGGCATGATCTGTTTTTAACAAGCCCATGCTGGCTACTCATTATAACTTTGCTTCTAGCCATTCAGGTTTTTTTTTTAAATCGTTTTTGATATGTTTACCCTGAAGACATCCAGGTGGCATGTCCTGTGTTTATCCTGTTAATGCTCTGGTAAAATTTAAAGTGATGCCTGCAATTCAGCTTCTGCACAATCTTGATTTCTGATCTAGGAAGGAAGGTGACAAGAATGATTTGGTGCCTCTCCTGCTTCTTCTACTCTTCTGGCTCCTGCCTCCAATTAT